TAAAACTAAAAAAAAAAAACACAACATTGAGAAAATTAAAAATAAAATAAAATTTTTATGATAAATTTCGTAACTAAAACTACTTTTGTTACTATGATCTCACCGTTACGGATTATATAATCGCTACAAATAATCAATTTTATAGTAGTGTAAATATTATGTAGTATAATTTAGTTTTTGTATAAAATAAAAAAATTCCTATCTATATTTTTTTGCATGGTGGGGGGTTTCATACAACATTTTTGAAATTATAAGGGGCAGTTATGAAAAATTTTAAGGTAAAGTGGAGATTTACACTAAGTTTCGAAACCACATAGAGATTTCATGCAACATTTTTGAAAGTATAAGGGGACACCATGCAATTTGTAAAGTGAAAGAGAAATTTACGCGGAGTTTCGAAACCACAAGGGAGTTATGAGAAATTTTGTCTATAAATATGACTACAAAGTTATAAAATGAAATACATGATTTACTTTTAGCGATAAAATTAAAATTTATAGTTAGTGGACACGTTTTAACTACAAAAATATTTTTTTAGTTAAAAATATTATAACTAATTAGATATTTTTGTAGTGCGATGTGAGAATATGGTGGATTGAGATTTGGAATTTTAATTTGAGAATTACCCACCGATTTATTTTTGCAAGTAAGTCAATGAGTAATTATTACACACCGGCTCTGTGTCATAGTCTACAATGCTTTCAGGATTTGTTTTTTTATTTATCATCGCAACTCATCAAAGCCATGACCTTCTACGCCATATATACTTCGAACCGCAATTCTTTTGCTAACCATGCTTGTTTGTAGCTAATGTTAACTTCGTAGTCGGCTTGTATGTCCTTTACTATATCAGCTAGCCTATAAGACGAAGTTATCCTTAGCTTGTCCACTATAAGAAAAAATTATTTTTGTAATAAAATTATTTTTGTTTCTAAATCTACTTTTTCCGTTACTAATGACATTAGAGACGGAATTAGGAATGAAATTACATTAGCTACGTGAACTTTAGGGACGGAATACCGTTACATATATATTATTTTTTTGTAGTGGTCTTTCAAAATCTCGTCTACCGATCGGGAGTCAGCACGTGGATGTCCTCGATTTTGAAGATTATCTTCACCATAGGTATGTTACATATCAATGAGTATTTCCATTTGGAATTACTCACAATTCTCAAGGAATTACTTATGAAATCACATTTTATGAGTAATTCCGTGAGTGAATTACTCATAAAATATAAGTTTGTGAGTAATTCCGTGAGTGTTTCGGACAAAACTAAATTTCCTTCGTAATTTCGTCGGTATTACCCACAAAATTAATTTTGGAAGCAATTTCCCTGAGTAAAATAATTTTTTTTTTGTAGTGCAAATTTATTTCAATTATTTTATTATTGTACGACTTATTTACATATTTTTAAATATATTTTATTATTATTATTTCACATCATTATTATATTATTTATTTCATATAATGTAAACTATAAATATTTTATATTGACAAAAGCTCTACACTACACTTCACTTCCAAAAATATTTGTAATAAACAACTTTGTTACAAAAAATGTCAAATTCATCTCCAACTATTTTGAGTTCAAACTTCGATGAGGAGGATGTGATTTCTTTCGATTTGTTAATGCAATTTCAACGTCTTCAAGATGTTATCACTAACCACGAAGAGGAAAATCAATCACGCCGAAGAACATACATTGAGAGAAATCTTGAAGAATGTCATAATTGTTTGTTCAAAGATTATTTTTCTGAAAATCCTGTCTATACAAATTTTCAATTTTGTCATAGATTTCAAATGAGAAGGCATGTCTTTCTGCGCATTGTAGATCGTCTAACAACAGAAAGTAAGTTCTTTCAACAACATCGAAATGCAACGGGTAGGCTTGGTTTATCGCCTTTACAAAAATGCACGGCCGCTTTGCGTGTGTTGGTTTTTGATGTAGCTGTTGATATTGTAGATGACTATATTTGTATTTTAGAGAGTAAAATTTGTAAAAAAATTGTTTGAGTCATTTCAATAATTTGGTGAGGAATATTTAAGAAGGTCAAATGCAACAAACCTACAACGATTGTCTTATGTTGCAAAAGAACGTGATTTTCTAGGAATAATGAGAAGTATTGATTATGCACTGGGAGTGAGAAGATTGTCCAACTGCTTGGAAATGCCAATTTTCCGTAGAGATCATAGCAAACCAACTATCGTATTAAAAGCCGTGACATCGTATTATCTATGTATTTAATTTTCCATTTTTGGAGCACGAAGTAATGCAATGATATTAATGTACTTGATCAATCTCCAATTTTTAATGATTTGTTGAATGGTAGATGTCCAAAAATAAGTTTTATTATCAATGATCATCAATATAGTATGGAGTATTATCTTACGGATGAAATATATCATCCATAGATAACATTTATTCAATCTATTCGTCTGCCTTAAAAACCTAAGATGTTATTTGCATAACGTCAAGAAGCTGCTCGAAAGGATGTAGAACATGTTTTTGGTGTTTTGAAAGCTCGATTTGCTAATATTCTACGTCCGTCACTCATTTGAGATATTGATTTGATTGGTAAGATAATGAAGACATGTATCATTTTGCATAATATGATCGTTGAAGATAAATAGATACATATCTTCATTATTATGATGTTTTCCAATTCGAACAAGTGGGGACAGAGAATCTTAGCGGCTTAAATCAACCATATTCTGCAGATAGACATGCCGGAATGATTGGGTTTTTAAGAAATAGAATGAGACTTTGAGATAGAGGAGTACATCAGCAACTCAAAGCAGATTTGGTTGAAAACATACGGCAAAAATTAGGTTCAATGAATAGTTAATTTATTTATTTTTATTTTTATTTTAAATATTTCTGTTGTATTTAATGTAATGTAATACTCTCTCAATCCCACATAAATTGTCCACATTTTCTATTTTCGTCCGTCCCATATAATTTGTCCTTTATTTTTATGAAAATATAATTATACATTTTAATCACATTTTAAATTTCATAATTTATAATTTTCTTAATCTTATTATATTATTTAGTTATCTTAATCTTAATCTATAATTATTTTTATTATATCATAATTATTTTTATTAATACACTTTTTAATTACTTAGTAATTATATTTTACTTAAATTTATGTGTCTAATGGAATATCGACAATTTTTCTGCGACGGAAGGAGTATAATGTAATATTTCTTTAAAAAAGTTTAGTTATTATTTCTATATTTTATTTTAATTAACCAATAATAACTATAATAATAAAAATACAAGACAAAAATAATTTCATATTAAAACTAAAAATTAAAAATAAATTAAAACTAAATTTAGTTAAATAATAAATAATATAATTTTTTTTCCATAAATTTTTAATAAATCAAAATATTGGCAAATGATAATAATAATAATACTACTATAATAATAATGATTAATTAATTAATACAAAATAAAAAATATACTTTAAAAAAATAATATATTATATATAATATGGGAATAAAAATAATTTAAAAAATTAGAATGAATATCTTTGTTGTGAATATAAAATATAAGAGAATATGTCGTCTAATGTGGTGGAGAGAGAAAGTGACGTGGATAATAAAAAGTAGTTGAGATACTCAAAAGTGGATATCTTCGTTGCGAGTGGCCTTATACTAGTGAGTATAAAATACTCCCATGTCCCACTTATCATGTTCATTTTTTTATTTTCGTTTGTCCTACTTATTTTGTCACTTTTTTTTTCTTTGAAAAGAATATGCACTTTAATTTAATTTTATTTTTTTAATTTATAATTTTTTCTTTTAATTAGACTAATTAGTTATTTTAATTTAAAAATATAATTATTTTTACTATATGATAATTATTTTCACTAGTACATTTTTAATTATCTATCATTACATCTCTCCTAAATTCTTGTCACTATAGTAAAATGGACATGGATGAAGGGAATACTATTAATTAAGAAAAAAAAAAAAAAAAAAAGAAGAAGAAATTGTCCTTACAAATATGTGTTAATTTAAATGTAAAAATAACGATATTTGTATAATAAAAATTGAAAAAATAAAGTTGGATAGTTTTATGTAAGTATGACTATTTATGATAATAGAATTATTGTCTTGGAAGAAAAATTAGTAAATCAGGACTATTGATTTGGATGGAATGGAGTATTTATATATAGTACAAGAGTAGATAAAAAGACATTACCATCCTCGTATGTTTTGTAATTTAATTAAATAAATGTAATTATATTTTTGGATAAATTATATAACACTCATTTGTATTTTAGTAAAAATGTATAAAATATCATATATTTTATTTACTGAGTGAAACTCATTTATGTTAATATAAAGTTTGGATGAAACATCTTTCTTGTCAAAAAATGATATTTGATTCTAAATAAAGACTTATATTACTTAAGTTTTATACAAAGAAACGTAAAATAGTTTAAATAATTTTTTGAATAAAATAAATAAAAAAATAATTGATTTATCCTTCATTTTATAATTTTTGGGAGATAAATTGTTATCTGATTTTTATAAAAAAACTATAAATATAAATTATTTAATCAATTATTTATTATTTATTTTATTCAAAAACTTATTTAAAATATTTTACACTTTTTATTTGTATAAAATTTGTATAATTTTAGTATTTATTTAGAACCAAATATCAGTTTTGGACAAAGAGGATGTTTCATGCAAACTTTATATTAACATAAGAGGGTTTCACGCAATAAATAAAACAATGAGTGTTTAAAGCATTTTTACTAAAACAAAAACGGGTGTTATATAATTTACCTTATATTTTTTCAATACTTGTAAGTTATAAAAGATTTTTTTTTTTTTAAGTTAAGTGTGTAGTACGGTTACTTAAAAAATATACAAACATGTCTCGTAAAGAATGGTCTAGTGGTGTGGGGGTGAACTTATGACCGTGTCCAGTTCACTTGCCACGTATAGTTCACCTAGTGTGACTTGTCTTGTCGTGCACGAAGTTATAAATATTTTGAAACCTCCTAAATAGAAATAATAGCAAACTTATATTCTATTTGAGTAGGAAAAATATATATATATATATTTATTACTATATAAATAAGAATTTAATATTAATTATAGATTTAAATTTATGATCTTGTAGCAGCTGGCTTGGCAGCATTTTTTAGCACACCGGAAGCTGAGGTTGCAGGGTTGATGGCCCTCCTGATCTTGACAACATTCCATGCAGTTCCGGCGACATGTCCGGCAGCCGCCAGTGCGTCCTCCGTCGCCTCTCCAGCACTCTCTCCATACCTGCATTGCACAACAACCTCAATCTTGTCTCGTCGGAGAAATTATTTTTTTTGTATATGTTATACGAAACCAAAATAAAACCCCCCTAAATATATGCAATATATATATATATACTTTTATCACAATGAAATAATTAATAAACTTTAAGGAAACATTAAGAAATGTGATTTTTTTTTTATTAAAACATATACACACATAAATAATTTTTTTAGTATAATAAATCGTTTTGAATATGCTCTCGTTAGGGATGTCAATTTGTATTTTCGGGTAGTATTCATGTTGTGTTGAATCGTGGGTATAATGACAAATTTGTCAACTCGAGTATGATTTTCAATCCAAAACACAAACATGACATGGATTTTTCGGATTAGGTTCAGCCGAATTTAATTTTATTTTAAGTAAGCCGATAATTCGAACGAACTTAAAAAATTTGACACAGAACATAACCCAAAATCTGAAAACGGACACAAAGCAGACCCAAAACTCTGAATTTTAAACTTATCTAAAAAGACCTATCATATTATTTTGTTTTGTAATATAAAATTAAAAAATATAATTTTAATTATAAAATCATGTCAAATTTGGATTCCGGGTTATCCGATAATCTAATATCTATATTTTGAGTTACCAAGTCAATCTAAAACGTGATTTAATTCAACCCAATTTATTTATTTATTTATTATTATTATTGTCTTGTTTTCAGTTTGGATCGACCTTAATTTTTTTAAATCCGAACTTGAAAATCTTCGAGTCAAATGGGTTCGATTTTTTTTCTTTTTATTGAGTTTAATATTGACACCCTACTCTCGTTCATTTTTAGAAACAGCCTTACCTGTCGGTGACGATCCTAGATAGTGCTCCGGAGGTGGCGGCCATGGCTTGCCTTTCGGCGGCTTCGGCTGCATCAAGTATTTTGTCTGGTACGCACACAGCATATAATGTTAGTATGCATGTGTTTTTTAAAATAAATATATAAATAATTGATTAATTCTTCGTTTTATAATTTTTTAGTGACAAATTGTTATCCTATTTTTATCAAAATTATAAAAGTAAATAATTTAATCAATTATTTATTTATTTATTTTATTCAAAAAATTATTTAAAATATTTTACACTTTTTATTTGTATAAAATTTACGTAGTTAAAGTCTTTATTTAGAATCAAATATGCGATGGTGTTTCATGCAAATTTTATATTAACATAAGGGGTTTTACGTAATAAATAAAACACTGGGTATTTTATGCATATTATTTGATGATAAATTATATATATAATAATTTATATGACTACCTAAATGTATCAAAATAATAAAATACTACCGACTAAAAGTTCAATTATTTTCCCCTTTCAATGTGTTTACTTTTCTTTGTATATTTTATATATTTTTTTTATTTTTAAATAGAAAATGATAGTTAAATGCAATATATATATATATATATTTGTAAAATTTAGATAATAAAAACAACATTTTTCAAAGACTTTTTATAAAAAAAAATGTATAATGCAAAAATTAATATAACACTAATAAATAGTACTCTCTCATGTCCAACTTATTTTGTTATTTTCTTTTTTTTATATAAAAAAATAAAAATATACACTTTAATCTTATTTTAAATTATTTAATTTTAATTAAAGTAATTAGTTATCTTAATATTAGTCTATAATTATTTTTATTATACAAAAATTATTTTTACTAATTATATTTCTCTTCAATTCTCGTGTCAATACTGGTTTATAGCTAGTTTGCATAATTCACAAATAAAATAAAATAAAATTAAATTAAAAATAAACTTACTGATTCCATCAAGTGAGGCCAAGAGGACTTCCCCCGGAACCATAGACAAAATCTTCTTCCCGGCTTGAGATCGAACCGCCGGCCCAATCACAGAACCGCTCGCCACCCCGATCACATCCACCATTGCCTTGCTCATCTTCTCCGTCATTTTCGACACCTTCCTCACACTATATATACAAGCGAATGTCTAACTATTATTATATCATCTTTTCAATTATAATAATTAATCTTCATGTGTTAATTAGTATGTAAAATATGTACATATATATATATATATACAAGTAGCGACGGAACCAGCAGTAAAAATTCAGGGGGTAAAATCAATTTTTTTTTTTATCGATTCAATGTTGTTCTTTTTTTATTCATAGTACACTCTGCCCAAAAAATTTAAAAAGATTAAATATTTTAGAAAAAATTTCAACAAAATTACATAAAAATTATTTTTTTTTTTTTTACTACAGATAAAAATTTTATAATTTTTTACATTACAAAATGAAAAATTAGGAGGGACAAATTATTATAAAATACATAATTTTATTATTTTTTAAATACATATATTTTGAGGATTGGGCCTTCCTAGACCCCATGTAGTTCAGTCCATGTATACAAGTATAAATCAATACAACAAATAAATTATTAATTAAATACCGTCGGAGAGTTTTGTTAATAGAAGAAGTTGATCGCTTTATATCCCGCCTATTGTTGTTGTCGCTTTGAGTATTTTTCTCGTTGGCCGCTCGAATCAAGATTGCCTCCCCACCTTTGTGTACCTATAAATGTAACATATTATAGGGTGTGTTTGTTTGGGGGATTGGATTGAATTTATACTATTAATCCAATTTTTTTCTCTCAAAAACATCAAATCAAACACCTATTTTTTATATTATACTCAAAATCAATTTTACATTTAAAACATCACATCAACACCTATTTATATCACATCATACAACTATTCAAATTCAAAATTTTTATAATTCAAATCTCAATTCAAATCTCAATTCAAAATTCAAACTTCCAAACAAACACACTCTAAAGCTACTATTTTCTTTTTAATATATATATATATATACTGCAATGGATCTAGAAAATTTTTTTACTGGTTGCACAATATATTAAACTTAAAAATAAAATAAATTATAAGACTCGATTTATTAAAAAATAATAATAATAATGTAATATTATTTTGTATATTTATATTTTAGAATATAAATTAATTTTTTAATTGAATTGAATTATAATTCTTTGGGTGTTGATGATATTTTAAATTTTAAATAATCCACCTATTTTTTTTAACAATAATGCAATTTTAAATTTTAAATGGAATACTACAATTTTTTAGTGGTAACACATTTATTAAATCATAAAATATTTTTTTTGATAAATAAAATCACTAGTGGCACGTACCACCATTCCACAAAAGGTGAATCCGCCCGTGTTTGTATATATATATATTTTTTTTTTTTTTTTCAAATGAATTATTCTGCAAGATTTTTTTTATAGAAATAAAATATTTTATCTTAGAAAATAACATTCAATTACTATATAAATATTAATATAATATACAAATACAAATACAAACCAATCTACATTAGTTACAATATATTTATTAAATCTTATTTTTGCATTAGTAGTTGGATCTAATAAACTCCAATTATTTGCAATTTTAGTTATAATTATGCACATTACTATCACATATTAATGAAAAGATGTGAGATTCACTTAAGTAAATGGAATCAAAATTATGAATAATTCATTAGTAAAACATTTTTTTTAAAAAAAAAAATAGTAAAAATGAAATAAAATATATTAATATTACATTAAATACATATTTAAGTTTATTTTTACTATTTTAAAAAATTTTAAAATTTACAGAGTGCATTCTAAACATATATAAACTCAAATTAAATCTTAAAAACACAAGCATAGGATCACCACTTTAATTTTATTTGGTTAACTTTTTAATTTTTTTACTATTCAATATTTAAAATTCTATATAAAAAATACTCCATCCGTCCTAAAAGAGTTTGCTTGTTTTTTCATTTTCGTCAATCCCAAAACAATTGTCTTGTTTCCTTATTTAGTAATCATGGTCCCACTTTATAACAAATTTATTCATACTTTTCCAAACTACCCCTAATTATTACTCTAACCTACTTTTTAAAATCCTTCAAGAAGTATGGACATTTTAGTCTTTTACATTCTATTTTATACCAATTTTCAATTAAATACTATTATTCCTTAATTCTCATGTAACTCCCAACAAGACGCTTCTTCTGAGACAAAGGGAGTATAAAATTTCATGTTGTAAAATATTACATTTACTTTACCGTTTGAATCCAAATTAAGAAATAAAAATTGGATATTTTCGATTCAATTTTGTTTTAAAGTTTTTAATTATATAATTCTTATAAAAATATATAATATTATCATTGTTTTATTAACAATAAAATAGGAGTACTATTTTTTATAAAAATAAAAAAATAATTATTATTATTTATTTTTATCAAAATTTATGGTCATACATTTTTTTTAACACAATTGAATAATAAAGAGTATTATTTAAAATAAAAATATTATATCAAAACTATTATTTACAATTTTTTACCATCTAAAACCTCCAATATATTTAGTCACGTCATTTCAATTTCATTCTCTTTTTAAAAAAAAAATGCTATTTATTTCTAAAAAAAGAATTTGATTTACTACCTCCGTCTCAAGATAAAGTACCCATTTTTTTATTTTAATCCGTCTCATAACAAAGTATCTATTTTCTTTTTTTAGTAACTGTACTATCTACCTAACATTACAAATACTCTTACAACTTACAATATATTATACAAATATCATTACCTTTATATCACACGTACTAATAAAGTTATTTTAGTCATTTCTACTTTATTTCTACTTTATTCCTACTACATTCCAATATAATACTAATATTTCTAAAATTACGCTGCAAAAAGCAAATAGATATTTACTTATGGGACGGAGGAAGTATTTTATTTTTATTTTACCATGGTGGTAATAAACTACTCCCTCCTTCCCATGTAATATGGTTGTATTACTGTAGCCACTAGAATTTAGGTAAAGTATAATTAGTAAGTAATTAAGAAATGTATTAGTAAAATTAATTATTATTTAGTAAAAATAATTATAGATTAAGATTAACGTAACTAAATAGTTTAATTAAGATTAAAAAAAATTAAATTTTAAAATTTAAAATATAATTAAAGTGTATAATTAATTTTTAAAAAAAAAAAATGTGGGACGGACGAAAATAAAAAATAGAGACAAATTATGCGGGACGGAAGGAGTAACAATTACCTGATTAGCATAAGCATTGGTGCAGGTAAAAATTCCCCTCACAATCTGCCCCGTTCCGCCGGCGATAGCCTTCGCCAGAACGCCGTTATAGTCCTCCACCGCCGGCGCAAACGTCTTCCAGTCTATCTCCCCTTTTCTCCTCTCCGACGACGGCGCCGGCCGTGTGAACACCGAGTTCTCTTCCAGGAACGAGTCCAGCGCCTTAAGCTCGCCGGAGCCGGTGCCGGAGAAACTGACGCCGTAGCTCAGCGGCATCTCCTCCTTCACCGGCAGCGAGAAAAGGTAGTTACGCGAATCGAGCTTGACCACTGGCTCGTCCTTGGTCAGAGGCCACTGCAGCTCGTCGCCGACCTTCACCACGGTGGCCAGGGGCACGCCGCCGTCGGATATTCGGAGGACCTCGAGGTCGCCGGCGGCGAGCTCCAGAGCTTCGCCTTCGTCCATTAGATGCACCTTGCATCCCCGGATGGTTGCCAGAACCTCGTGCTTCACGTTGCTCTTGTCCTCCTCCGCCACCGCCACCGCCGCCGCCGCCGCCGCCGCCGGAGAGGTTGATTTGGTCGGGGAAAGTGTTCTCGACCGCCCGCAGCACCCCATCTTAACCGATTTGATTTGATTTTGATTTTGATTTTGTAAAGACTCTCTCTCTCTCTCTCTCTCTAGAGATATATATATATATGTATGTATGTGTATGTATATATTTGGGGGGCTCTGGTTCTTGATTCTGTGCTTAGTGAATAAGTTTAGTGTGAATGTGTGGGTTGCTTTCGGCGGGTGGATGAAAATTAATTAATCAGCTGTCTGTCTATATATGATGTTGTCCGAACATATTCCCATCCCATGTAATGTAATGCAATCGAATAATTTTTTCGAATAAATTTTCCCCCCCTAATTATGGGCATGGGATTCTCCGTTCCTATTTAGGGTACATTCATATTTTCTTATATTGTATTAATATTAAAAATATATTTATATTTATATAATTTTATTATTTTTTTTTAACAAATATCATTATATTACTATAATAATATACTAATAAAAATATTTTTGTATTTTTTTTTTAGATTTATATTATATTTTAATATAATAATTAATATATAACTCTTAGAGCCAGTAGATGTAATATTTATCATAATTTTGTTTTTGATTTAAATAAAAAATTAATTAATTAAACAAAAACATTCAGCCTCCTTACTCTCTTCAATATTTTTGATCTATGATGTTAAAATTTTGTTGAAGGTAAAATTATTTTATTATTTATATATATATATATTTAATTTTATTAATTAATTATTTATTAAATATTGAAATTTTTTACAAGTATTTTTTTCTAAAGGTCGGTATGTCTTCGATGTCCCATACTCTGAAATCACCTCATAATGACTTCATTTTCAATTTTAACAAAAAAAAATAAAATTTTAATGCAACATACCAAACTATTGTTAAAAAACTCATTTTTTATCTTGTTGCACAAGTCATTCTTAACAAATTTCATGATATAAAATGATCTTTCAACTATAGATGTCGTAGCAAGTAAGATCAATGTCAACTTAATAAATCGATACACTAACCTATAACTTGTATGTCATTCCGTAACCACCATCCTTATTGTCAATTTTCCAATATTTTCCAATCCCAAAAAAAGTGGAGATGATTTAACAAATGTAAAGAACATCCCGAATTGTTCTTTCAATTCGCATATTTTCTTTAAATTGAAATCATCATGATATAATTTAGGCAAACGTAGTAATCACTTTTGAACAAAATTTGGAAGGGAGTTTTTAGGGCTTAAGCGTGCTATGCACATAAACAATTCTAAACTTAATTCCGTAAAACGATTATTCATTTATTGAATGATACAATCAACAATCTATCATGATGAAAAATAAACTAATTATTCATAGGAAAATAAATAAATGCATACTCCATCTGTCCCAAATAATTTGTCCATATTTTCTATTTCGGTCTGTCCATATAATTTTTACTTTCTTTCTTTGGAAATATAATTATACACTTTAATCACATTTTAAAATTCATAATTTATAATTTTTTTTTACTTTAATTAAACTATTTAATCATTTTAATTTTAATCTATAATTAATTTTATTATATCATAATTATTTTTACTAATGCAATTTTTAATTATTTATTAATTACATAATACTTAAAATTCAGTATCCTAGCTAAAGTGGACAAATTAGCTATAATTGAGGAAATATATGCTAATATGAAAAAAAGGGGGAAAATATACCTCAAAAAATATATTAACATGAAAATAGTGTTGGTACGTCTTTGGATTGCCATCAAATTTTTTTTCTCTTTTAATTTGACCCAGTTGGACATATTTCGTAGTAGGCACACAAATATTATATTTCGAACAAAATATAATGACATTTTCAAGCAACTCACTCCAACTATAATTATTCCTATAATTTTTCAAATCATTCTTCACACCTTCAATAAGAACCAAAACATTTCCTATGTTTCAATTCTTTTGTTGAAAACTCTTTGATAACATATTTGTTTTTCACAACAATTGCATCATTAAATGAACAATGAATACAAAATTAATATTACAATTTTCTCAATCAAACTCAAAGCGGTCGATTTACTTTAAGATCAATTACATCATCATATATAACTTCAAGTACCTCAATCATTGCATCCCACATATTCAAAATTCTTGAAATTGTTTTCAAATGGGATCCCCAATGAGTATCCCCTGGTTGAGCTAAAAAAAATTTCTTGATTTTTGCCCTTCTACTTTCGCAATATTTTATACAATCAACAAGCTTTTCATAATGCCTTTGTAAAAGATCATCATTTCTTTTACATAAATTTACAATCATACCAAGATAATCGAAAAAAAACTACTACCTATTTTCATTATTCTTTAAAGATGTCAAAATCACTAATTGAGTTGGTGAGCAAAATAATGAATATAGTATGTGACGAGGACGTCCAATCTTCAAGGATTCAAATGTCTAAGAAGAAAATACATTGGGTATAATTATACACGGTCGAGCCGTGTCAGTATGCTTGTTTATTATCATCCAAATTTTTTATGCTTTAAACCGTTAATATCACCACTCATATTAGAAGCTTCATTATAATTTTGACATCGAACCTTAACCAATGATAGTGCATGTTTTGCAAAAAAATCATCAATTGCAATTTTTAACGATTGTTCAGAAGTATCAGTAACATGCACTACTCCAATAAATTGCTTTATCACCTCCTCGCAATTATTAACAAATTTTAAAATTATATACAGTTTCTCTTTTATTGAACTATCTCGGGCTTCATCAATCAAAAGTGAAAAATATTTGCTATCAATTTCCTTAACAATAGTTTGTTTTACCTCTGTTGCATAAGCATTATTAACTTTCTTTTGGATTTTAGGAGAGATTATTTGACTATTTCCTAGAGCATTTAAGTTCATCAATGTATTTATTTGTGGATGCCGACAAACACTCCTATTTTGAAAGTTCAATAAAATTACCTATAAATAGATTAAACATCAGAAGTTTACAATATAATAATTAATTACTTAAATGTATTGAACTAGTCGAAAAGCCAAACCTCCCTCCAAAAGGACTCAAACCACATCCGCTATCATTGCTAATTTAGCTCGGTAATCAATTTTATCTTGTCTACTTTGTTGTGAGAGTATATAATCAATATTTTTCACTCTACTTTTAAGCCCAAGATATAGAGCTTTTGCATATCGATGGATGCTACTTTGACTATTTCATGTTCACGAAATTTCTCCTTAACTTTTTTCCAATTTCTAAAACCAATTTTTGTAAACACATCGTCTCTAAATTTACCATCTTTCGAAAAAAAGTAACATACCTGACAAAATGTTGCATCTTTAGCAACACTATACTCCAACCAATTAAATTCTTTAAATCATTGTTTGGAAATAATCTCATACCTTCACTAAAGCTAGTTTGTGGATAAATAAATTCATGTGTAGCGTCTTCTTAAATCATCTCTCATATTAACTGAATAACTTTTAATCGATTTTCGAAATCCAGATCCCCAATAATATCATCATCTGGCAACTCAACTCGTATTGGAAGTTTGACATTATCTTTAATATTGTCAACTACATCATCACTTGGAGTATTGATATTATCTGATGAGAATATACACTCTTCAACTTATTAGAAATCCATTTTAAAAATTGCTCCTTAATAGCTCTTTGTTCAAATAACCTAAAATTAAAACTACAATAATTACAATATTAAAGTACAAGAAAAATAAATACAGAAAGTTAAATAAAAAAGAATGCACTTGTTGTTTCACTTTCAAAGACATACAATGAAAATAATAAAAAAATATAAAAAATCTAACCAACTAATATTTTTTAGCTATCCAAGAATCCATTAGTTGCTTCTTCGATCTGTTTATAATACTAGCAACTTGATTTTGGGTAAAAATAAGAACAATAAAGCAGGATGTGAAAAAAAATTGAAGAAACAAGTATTTTTGCGTGGGGATTGGGCTGTAGGGGTTTTTATTTAAGTTAATTTTTTTTAATATATTAAATTTTAATTGACATAAATTAAAATAAAAAATCAGTAAACGACAAAACTGCAAAAGTTACTTTATTATTCATTGACCACCGAAGCGCTCACCCCATAGATAGATGTTTTTTTATTTTTTTTCTCTCTCTCTCTTTAACCACGATTGTACCCATCCATCCCATCTACTCTTTATCTTCTGCAATTTTTTTGTACAATTATGGTTGATATGCAGTATTGTTTGGGTGGGTTATTATTGATTTTTGTTGGTATTTTGTATAGATTATTAACAAAATAGTCAGTGAATTATTGTTAATCCATTCAAGTTTACAAAGTTGGATAGGTCAATAGTCTACACAGTCTAGTCAGTAAATTAACAAAGTTGTGACTTGAGTCTATATTGGCAGATTATTAATTGTTTGAATTATTTATTTCCGATCTATAATTTCAAATTTTTATAAGTAAATTGGGCATTTGTTGATGGTAAATTATTAGTGTTGCGCGAGCAACAGAACATCATGTTGCGCGAGCTACAAAATCATTGAACAATTAGTTTTTTTTTTTTTTAAATGATGTTTGCTGAATTTTTAACGAGATGAAATGAATACATGTGATGGATTGTTGCGTTTCTTGTTAGGATTGATAATACATTATGCAATTGTGTAGATACATATTATTTAGTCTGGGTTGGGTTATGTAGTTTATTGTTAATGTATATATTATAGGTAATTAAGATTGATGAATTAAACATGAATAAGTCTTTGTCTTCACATAGATTAAATTTTACGAATATAAAAAATGATAACCAGTTCTATAATTATCATATTTCTCTCGAAGAAATACCTCAAATTGAAAAAAAATTTGACAATGGAGAAGACGCTATCAGTTTTATTAGCTTATGCTAGAAAAACGAGTTTTGGCATAAAAAACACAAAATGCATATAGATTGAGTATGAAAGATAAAATTTAGAATGTTTTCTTGTAGTGCTGAAGGTACAAAGGGAGAAGATAATTTAAATATCAATGTAAAAGCTTCGCGGACAATAACAAGATTCGGGCTCAAAACAATAATTAGAATTCGATTGAAAAATAATAATAAGTAGAAAGTATTTGAATTTATCTCTGAACACACTCAACAGTTCACTAGTTCTCATAAGACTCATTTTTTTCCGTCATATAGGAGGATGATACATGTTGCTTAGATTGATATACCCGAGCACATGAGACTTGCTCCAAAAGCCTTACATGGTTAAATGGTTAAGAAAACCGGTAGTCAAGATAGCTTAGGATTTTCAAGGTAAGACATTACAAATTACTTATGATCAAAGAACAAAGTATATAAAGGTAGGAGACACTGGAGGGGTGCTAGAATATTTGTAAAGAATGAGAAGTAGTGACTCAAATTTCTCGTATTCAATTCAGGTAGATAAAAATGTTATGATTACAAATATATTTTCAGATGACGGGAGAATGAGATCAAATTATGTTGATCTTGGAGGCGTAGCTTCTTTCAACACTATGCATAGAAAGATTAAGGAAAATTTTATGTTGACCTTGTTTTTCATTGTTGATCATCACAAGAAAACAGTGGTTTTTCGCACTGCACTTTTATACGAAGAGACTATTCCCTTATTTCAGTGATGGTTTGACACATTCTCCAGCACTATGGAAGAAATCCGACTACTATTTTGATAGATCAAGATCAATGAATGAAAAATGTGTTGGTTTTGAGTTGGCCTGATACTCATTACAGATTTTCTATTAGGTATAAATATTCAATACATATAAATTTTAATTTTGTAACTTACAGCTACTTTCATAGAATAATTTTATCCCTAATCCATTATATTTTATAGGTTATGTATTTGTCATATTTATTAAAATGTTTCTATACGTTTAACTGGTGTCTTTGCTAAGTATAAAAATTTTGTGCATAATTTTGGAAAAATGTATTTACGATTTTGAAAAAAAAAATAATGAGTTTTGGTATGAATTAGATGAAATGTTGTTTAGGTATAATTTGGTGGAAAATACCTGGTTGAAAAAAAAATATTCAAAGTAAAAGAAAAATGGACTTTGGTATATAGTTGTCAATTCTTTTGTATTGATATTATGATGACACAATGTAGTGTATAGTAGTTTTGTTCAAAGATATGTTAGTTCAAAGATCAACTTGCTGGTATTTTTTAAAAAAAGTTTGAAAATCTGATTGAATCTCGTTGTCAATTTCAAAGCAAGTATCAATGCATTTGTACTCTCAATGCCAACCCAGCTCCTTAAACATGCTATAAGTCAGGGGTGTCAAAAGTAAACCCGACCCGAAAAACCAAACCCGTTCGACCTGAAATTTTTCAGGTTCGAGTTTGGGTATTTCGGGTTTGAAAAAAATCGGGTCGACCTGAACCTGAAACGAAAAAAATTCGTGTCGTGTTCGGGTCGTGTTTCGGGTTGACCTAACAACCTGAAATATCAAAATCAGGTTAGGTTTTGGGTTTCGTGTTTTGGGTTGACCTGAAATTTTTATTATTATTATTTTAATTTATAATATTTATATTATTTTAAATATAAAATAATATAAAAATAAAAATAAAAATGATATTTTTTAGGTCAATTTAATTTTTTTAAAATTTTCGAGTCTGTTTCGTGTCAGGTTCGTATCGGGTTTGTTCGGGTTTCAGGTGACCTGAAACTAATTCAGGTCAACCTGAACCCGACCTGAAAGAATTCGTGTCGTGTTCGGGTCTAGGGTTTCAGGTCAGATTTCGGGTTCGGGTCGGGTTCGGGTTGACAGTTTTTTTGTTATCCACATGGCTCAACCCGACACAAACACGACCCAAAAGTACGAATTGACACCCCTACTATAAGTGTGTATATCCCAGAAGTTTCCAAAAAATTCTAGGACGAGTTGAGGAAAGCGTATGATTGTGTAGGAGTTGTTATTATAACATATGAAACCATTACAAAATATCAAGTTAGCTATCTTGAGAGTTCGAGATATCATTTTGTCAAATATGATTCATCATATAGGATAATTGCATGAAGCTGCAATAAATTTGATTTTTCTAAAATATTATGCTATCATGAAATGAAAATCCTCACAAGAAATGATGTTTTGAAGATCCCAAATTAATATATAATGAAGATGTGGACAAACGATGCAATGGTAGGTGTTTTGCATAGTGGAATGCATAGCGAGGAATATGGTATGAACGACCCAAAAAAAGATTTAAGCTTGCGCTATAAGGATTTGAGTCCTGTTATGCAACAAATTGACAACGATGGCTTTGGAAAGTAAGAAATCTTATGAGTTTTCCAGAGATACACTGGTGATGGCAGCTGAAAAAATAAGTGAATGATAATCCCAAATAATAATATATATTTATCGTTTCATAAAGCTGTCTATTTCCTGAATTTTTATGTAAGAACTATCACAATATATGATTTATGACCTACTTTATTGATTTGTTTCGCTTGATATGATCCAAAGTCCGGTTGTAAAGATTATTGACGTTTTTAGCCTCTTTAAGCGACGTTTTGGTTCAGAAATACCTAAGTATGACGAGACGAACAAGGGTCAGCCTGCTATGGCATACGATGCTCTTTTCACTTGCGCCCAAGCCAGCCAGCCAGCCAGACGTCCACTGCTGACAAGCAATGATTTAGAAGTTTCAATAAATGATTATGTGTGGATCTCTCAACGGTCAGCAATCTATTACCGGCCAGCGACGATAGCCTCGCTTGAGCTGCACCGATGCTCTCAAACCAAGCCAAGTCTACAAGGCAAGCTGAAAGATCTGCACCCAAACGATGCAGTCCCGCAGATGAGCGAGCAAGTTGAGAGTTAAGGCATTTCCAACTGATCAACTAAATAACTGCCTAGTCGTTGCTCTATAATCGTTCAACTGCCTTCAACTGTCACCCAGAAAATCTATAAATAGAGCCCGATTTTATTTGTAAATTTATCATATACTCTGTGATAAAGTTCTTGCTTTTACTCTGTGAATTCTTGAGAGCTCCAATCCTGCAAGGGAGTTCTTTTAGTTAGAGAGGGGGCTGGGGGAATGGAGATTCTCTCCTCCCTGACCAAACAATTTTAAATTGCTTTCTAAGGAGATTTACGACTTTCATTTAACTGCTTTATTATTGTTTTGTAATGTAGATTCACCGTCTTCCTAGTGTTAATTCAAAAATCAAGATTTCTTCGTCTCCAAATTTTTTCCTATTTTCAAGTTTGTATTTGATTGTTAAATTGGAATTTTACTCGCTATCGAAAGTTATTCAGAAGAATTGATTATCAAAGCGTAATTTTGCATCGTAGTTCAATTATTTAATTCCGTGAGAACCTTATTAGCTTTTCTTATTTATAATGTTTTAAATATGAGTATCATTGAAGTCTTATCGTAAATCCCTTAAAGTCAAATATCAACGAGTCAAGAATCTGATTTAAACGAATAAGTATAATCACAATATATAAATAAAAAAAAAACTCTGTACATTACCTTTAAATTACATTAATATAGCGGGACAATATTAGTGTATGTAAATAGAGAATGTAAATTTATATAAAATCAACCGAAAGTACATAAAAATTAATTATGTCTTGATTCCAATGATAATATAAATAGTAAAAAGTGATATCTAAACATTAAACATTATGAAAAGGTAGAAGAAGAAGATGCAGGGTGGAGAGACTAATCTTAAATATTTTTACCTAGTAGGAATTTAAATCTTACTCCTATCTATAAATATATTTATAAAACCAAAAGTATACAAATAGATTCCACTTTAAAAAATATTTGAAAGAAAAAAAATTAAAACTATTTACTGCAACAATAAGGTAATACTTTCCCAATCATGAATTATATGTTCAAATATTTGCATATAAATTTTAATAAAATTAAATAAAAAAAAACTCATGTCATTTTTTATTAAAAAAAGAACACTTTCTGTGGACAATAAGCATAATATTAGATATGACCGAAAGAATATCATCAAACAATATAATTTTAAAATAAAGTAAAATATATATAACACAATGGTTCTAGTCGTTGTTCTTTTAATACTCATCAATATTAATGTAATTTTTTTAAAAAAATATTATATCCAATTTCTAATTCCACTTAAAATATTATATTAAAAAATATTTTTTTATACAAAATTACATTTAAACCCATATTTACAAAACTCTTCAAAATGCTTCGAAACAAATACTTTTTTACTTAAAATATTACATTCTATATCCATTTTCCATCACATAGAAAATACATATTCAATTTCAAAACAGTAGAAACATTTCAAAACTCAACAAAGACAGGAAACCATAACCTAAAAAGGTGAAATATGAAAATTCCACAAAATATGAATGTAAATTAGAGACATTACAACCTTTTGTGAGAGTCTCATCTCATCCAACTTTCATCACTTTGTGGCATCAAAAGCCTTCTAAAATGATCATTATGCATTAATGCAAATCGGATCTAAGTTCATCACAAAAACATCAAACCCCCAACAAAAACTTCAGTTTTCTTGTTTAGGTACATAAAGAATACACCTACTACTTCAATAAGCTCCCAAAAAATTCTTCAACATGTTAGCTTTCCACCCAATAAGTAAAAAAAGAAGGAAAGTTGAGGAGGGTTAGCCATTTACATCTTCCCGGTATGAGTTAGCTGAATTTAGAGCGTATATTTTGCAGTGGGCTTCGTAGCATGCTGTTTAAGGCAATGTCTTGTTCGATAGTCCCATTTTCTCGGCAATTTCTTTGGAAGTGTATGTGTCAGCTTGCTCCTGTATGGTAAGATGAATTTAAAAAATGAAAGTAAGGAGTTGTGTTCGCAAAACCAGTCATCAGCATGAAATAATATTCGAAAATGCTTGCATTTTGGAACAATGATTGAGCAAAATGTCATTCCCTACCTGAAGACGATGCAAGAGGTACATCAAGAAGAGATGCACAAATACCTGCGGCATTTACATATAGCATCATTAGAAAAGGAGCTTTTTAACTTCTTTTGCCAAAAGTAATTGGAGCATAGTGCCGGTTTTGAGTAAATTAGCGTGTCAAGTAATTGGTCAGTCTAGAATTTAATATGCTAGAGATGCCAGTTTAATCACTCAAGTAATGACATCAGTCACAGGCTATAATAATTGGGTTAAGAAGTTCGAATGCAATTAACCATTTAATATTACATCAAAATACCTGAACTCAAATTGACATTTTTCACTAGTTTTCTGAATTTTTCGGGCAAGTGTTCAAAACTTTTGTGGTTGGCACTCAAGTATGCAGTCACTGATGAGAATGAACTAGCATATAGCATCTTATATATATATATTTTAAAAAAAGGAACGAAATTACAAGCATGAAGTGATTTTATTAAAACTTCTTCATCCTACCGATGTAAATTAACAACTAAAAACTACGTAAAATGTACTAAGCCCTATCAATCTTCTGCTCAGCACCAAAGCCCCAATGGCACAGGTTAGGGGATACAGCAACTATAAAGTGTTAAACATGATATATATATATATATATAGCTGAATAAGGTGAAGTCATAAATGGTGGCATTAAAACAATATTTAGAAATATTAAAGTTCTACAAATTTGGGAGATGAGCATAACAATGGATTCATTTATTCGGTAGAAGGTTTGTTCGTCAAAAAGAAGACCATCCCCACATGTAAATCCATCTCCTATTTTTTGAAACATACGCAGCGAAGTGCTATTAGAATTAGGTATATATTTTTCTAATTCTATTTCTAGGAAGTTCTAGAAGAATTGTTATCTCAAGTTACTTAACAACAAAAGGAACACTACAAAACAGGCTGTCTAGCCTAACAACAACACTAAGTTAATAAACTACTGATCAAATTATCTCACCAGATAGAATAGCAGTATGATGCGAGCAGTTGGATATCGCCACAGAAATCTTGTGGCCCTAGCAGCCCCTTTGTCTACAAGTTTTACTGCCTTCTGCAACTGCAGCTGCAGCTGCACAATTATATTTATGGTGTTACAATATAATATGGAGGAACCAAGGAGAAAGTTTCATGGAATGAGACGTCACATTACCTGTAAGCTTGCCCCAGCCACTTGACGTTGATGCAAGGGGAGAGGCCTGAATGGTTAAAATAAGAACATAAATTGGTTCGGAGTGGTGAATGAATCGAAACAATGTTCACAGCCATAAATGGGTATCACATCTCAAGTAATCAACTTATCCATTTTAGAGCAAAACTTCAAAACCAATTTTTATATTCAAGCATACCCACAGTGCAAAGCTGTAGTAAGTGCGCATGATTTGTCACATGGTACTGCACTTCAAAACAACAGCCTGAGCAATATAAGGAATTGACTTATGGAAAAGACGTCATTTTTATGAATACTTTCTTCTACAGAACTTAAACTAGCATATGATGAAAGCCCCTGTTGCAATGCAAGTGTATCTTCTTTCTCAGTGAAATGATTGTGCCTTCTCATTCTAGCATCATATCAGATTCAATGTTTTTCTCAGCATAATCTTCACATACCAGTTTCTCTCTTTTATCAGTCGTTCTTATCTTTTATCTTATTCCAAGCAAATATAATGCTGAAATTTGTACATATTTCTAAAATATTTTATGGTTATATCCGAACAACAGAATTAGAGTCATTTTTTTTTACATTGAAATTTTTGTTTTATTACTTGATCATAATTTGAGTCAATGCCTTTGTTTATGAATTAAAATGCTTCTACACTCTTGAGGTCAATCACCATTTGCATTGCCTTGTGTAGGATGACACCCTATACATAATACGACAGATAAACTAGTCTACAAAATGCTCATCCCTTCCCCAATGTGATTATCTTCTGATCTTATCTGTCTAACTACTTGGTTATTCTTCCTCCTTTCCACCTTCCGGTTTTTTTATTTTTCCTAACTCATGTTTTCCTTTCACACGTGTGATGCTTATCTTTCTTTGCCTTTGCATTATGTAAGATTAATATAAATATAGGAAATCGTTGTAATTGATATCTATACTGAAACCTGAACTAAACAATATAATTTTTATATATTTTAGTAATGGTAAAATTACACACCTAAACATGTTTACTTCCTAAGTGTAAAAAATTTAGAAATATACAGCTACTTAATCCGTTTGCATAATTCAATCCATGCATTGAGGCATGTGCACACCAATTTCTATGGCTCAAAATACCATCTGCACCATGATGTAATGTGAAGCCTTGATGACTATGACTGAGCAAAATAAATTCTTAATGAACTCCTCATTGATTCAATATGGCTTTCAACGTAAATCCAACTCTATCCCATCTTCCCTTCCATTATATGTTCTTAATGTTGGTCCAGCACCTCCATGGAGATTGAACTTCAGCATTAATAGGCTCTACCTTGCTGTCAAAAACTACCCCCAACATATCCCTTGTAGTACAAATAAGGCCGTGGAGTATATTAATAAGAGTGGTGCTAGAGGTAGTGAAGAGTTATTGGTTAGGCTGCAATTAATTTCCCTATTTCTTTTGGACCTAACTTTTGTATCTCTCTTTTCTAATATAAGATTTTTTCACTTCTTAAAATGTAAATCAGCCTCTGGACCTAACTTTTGTATCTCTCTTTTCTAATATAAGATTTTTTCACTTCTTAAAATGTAAATCAGCCTCTGCACCTGGGTACATGAAAAATCATCAGCAGTTCTAGTAGGGAGATTCAAAATTACTAGAGAAGATAACGGACATTAATAACTAACAAAAATGATATAAGGACATTGTCAACCAGGGAACCTAAATGCAGCTTAGAAGCCACAAGAGATAACACATCAGCAATTTAATGCAAGAAGTCTAAAGAACACATGCCTCGAAAAAGAGATTAGAAAGCACAATTATACTAGTAAACGTTATATCAATAATCAATTTATAAGAAAAAAATAGTTGAAATGGTCAATTTTTTATATGTTGAAGATGACTTTTAATTATTTCCGAGAATCAATTAGGCAAAAGCAAATTAAACTTTCATATATTCTCACTTGCGCACAATATTTTGACCAAGTACCATATATACTTACTCAAGTGCTTTGACATCAGTGTCCTCTTCCCAAGATGTTGATCCTCGACGAGAAACTTTATTCCTTTCAGCTTCTAACTGTTTTACAATATAAAGGCAAGAACAAATTTACCAAGAAGAATAAAGGACACGCACAATAAAAGATGAATACAACATACACCCAAGTTCAGACCTGTACTTCCTGGAGACGTTTCAATTCCTTCTCCAACTGAAACTCAGCTGCAGCTTTTTCACTGGCCATAGTTTCCAATTGTGTTTGCTTGAAATACTGACACAAATCAATAATATGACATCAAACAAACTACGATGGTGCAGGAATGCAAAGGAGAAAATCCATAAAATTAATACTTGTGCTTACCAGTAAATCGGTTAGTTCCCGATACCGCTTTTCCAGTTCCATATGTTCCTACTCAATGACATAGACAACATGATACTTACATACTTAGAGACAAGCTCAATGTATGGAAACATACAAATAAGCTATGTTGCATGTTATTATGAATGAAAAATTAGTGAACCACAACTAGTTAGTAGCATTGGATCATTTGTAAAATCATATTTATGAAAATATATATATATGCTCCATAGGAAGCATTGAAATTAAATGTAGATGCCTGAGTTGAATCATCAATACCATTGCATCCCTCTATATTTGCAAATGCTGACAATTACGCATTTATCTTAGCATAAGCTGTATTGCATACATAAACACAAATAAATTAAAATTTGTAATACCCAAAGCACTGAAGGCCTTGGAAAATTTTCTACATTATTTAATGTCATTCACAGTACATGAGAAATGATAAGTATTAAGTAGACCATAAATAATACATGAAGAATGGCAAGGCAAAATCCATATGGGGAAAAATGAATCAAGGTTAAATGAAAAACCAAATTTCACCATTTTTATATATAGAAGCAATGCAACTCCTGCATATCATTGCATCTGAGAAAGTGAAAATTACTGTTGTATTACACAAATTCTATCCTAGATAACCTAAATATAATGAGTAGATAAATGTCTACCTGTCGTGAGTAATGTTCAGCATCCCTCTTCATAGCAGATAATTCAACCCTCATCTTTTGAACTTCAGCCTGAAATCCAGTTAACCATAAATTTCTCAGGCCCTAATAATCAGTAACGACTTGAACATACATACCCTATATTACACCGTCATCTAGTTTAATATGACATTATCTAGAAACAACAAAATTAACTTGCCTCCATCGATGAAAGTTTGTTTTCTGCATCTCTCTGACCTTCGCGTGCACGTTCCACTTCCTCTTGCATTGCTTGCACCTTCGCATTCAAATGCATGAAATCAGATGAAAGTTACTGAAACTGTTATGTTCACTCAACAATAATACCACTCTGTTTTTTTCCTAAAATAATAATTATACATAGGAGAAGCACTTAGGTCAGATTTCAGATTGTATTTGACTAATTGGGTACAAAACCTAGTGACACATCAACCCAATTTCCAACTTGTGGCAGGTAACAGTTTGTGACCTAAAACCAAATATTATGGGTTCACAGGTGATCTATTAAAACTCAAAATAACCTATGTTTACACAACAAATTCAGATTCAAAATATATTGTATCACATTATCAAGTAATGTAAACAAAATTGAAACATTTTTATCCATAAATTCATGGTATACATCAAAATCAACATTTCTTGTTTTTTTAAATTAAAAACAGAAAGGACTAACAAGTAACTAAGGGTGTGTTTGTTTGGAGGATTGGATTAGATTTCCACTATTCATCCCATTTTTTCTCCCCAAAAAAATCAAATCAAACACCTATTTTTCATTTTTTATATTATACTAAAAATCAATTTTACATTCAAAACATCACATCAACACCTATTTATATCACATCATACAACTATTCAAATTCATAATTTTTACTATTCAAATCCCAACTCAAAATCCAAACCCCCAAACAAACACACCCTAAAAGTTTCCTGTTGGCGCTCATTTACAGTAGTCAAGAGTTTATTAGGAATTTGTGATTGCTTTGGTATTGATCCATAAGTTTTCTGAAATTGAAAACCAAAATGTAGGGTGTGTTTGTCTGGGGGTTTGGATTTTTTGTTGGATTTGAATAGTAAAAAAAATTTTAATTGGAATAGTTGTATGATGTGATATAAATAGATGTTGATTTGATATTTTGAATGTAAATATGATTTTTAGTATAATATAGAAAATAAAATATAGATGTTTGATTTGACGTTTTTTAGAAGAAAAAAAATTGGTAAATAGTAGAAATTTGGGAAATTTTGATAAAAGAACACACTATATTTTTTTCATTATGTTGACCTGTTTGGTTATTAATATGAATTATATTCATCAAATATTTAACAGGAAAAAATGGGTTATGGGCCAATCAACGCAATTTGAGTGTACTAACATAAAACCCAATGTTTTTGCATTTTGTCAAGAAGTCCAACCCTTGTCAATCTATGCAGTTTAAAATATGGTACTAAAACTTTTTAAACCTGTATGGCTTGATTTCCATCTTCAGGGGACTTCTTTTGTCCACGGCGGACACGGGCCTCCATATCTTGCAGTTCTTGATTCAAAGACGAACATTCAACCTAGTGCCAATAAAAACAAAAAAAATCATCTGTATTCAAGTTTACTGTTATCTCAGTTTGAAGACTTGAAATTGGGACAGATGAAACCGTTGATGGAACAATTACCTCAAGAAGTGCTACTTTCTGTTCAAGTTCTGCTGCTTTTGAAGCCCTATCATCTGCTGTTCTCTGATGGTATAATGAAAATATATGTGAAATATAGTGTTACACTGAACATTGAAAGGTAAACATATAAAACATCTGTTGTAAGTAAGATTGTCAGATTCAGAAAGGCAAATACATTATTTTCTCTGGATTAAAACTCTCACTCAGTTCATTCCAAAAGCATGGTAAAAAATGGTGCCTTTGATAGACTATACTATTGGTAGGAATATATTTATAACATACTTAATAACAAATTAAGAAATCAATAAGTGTTCTAGAAAAGCTTTGATGTATAAGGGACCTTTTTTTAAGTTACTCCAAAATCACATCAAATTAAATTTCAGGGTAAACTGTATAATATCTCCTTGTGTATTAATATGAATGCATAAAATACTTTGTGTTTTATTTATTGCGTGAAACTATTTTATGGCAAATTAAATTATGCACAAAAGTCCATCTTCGTTCAATGTTGATATTTGATAGTAAATACACACCTAATTATGCAAGTTTTAGGTATAAAAAGAGGTAAAATATCTTAAATGGAGTTATTTCAATAAAGAAATAAATAAATAATTGTTCAATAATTCATTTTATAATTTTTTTGTAAAAATTAGGTAACAGTTCGTCTCCAAAAAACTACTAAATGAAATGTTGTAAATTATTTATTTATTTATTTTATTCAAAATTACTATTTAAGATATTTTCCTCTTTTTATTTATATAAAACTTGCATAATTAAGTGCGCGTTTACAATAAAACATCCTGACGAAAAGAGTATTTTGTGCATACTTTAATTTAACATAAGGGAATTTCACGTAATAAACAAAATACAAAATGTTTCGTGCATTTTTACTAAAATACAAGATCTAATAAAATTTACCCTAAATGTTATTGGTTATTAATTCCAAGTTTAGTAATACTTACCCTAAAAGACGTCCTAGTTTCAACAACAAAAATGAAAAGCATAAGTTATGAATAAACATGAGTTACTTAAATATATATTGCTATTTCTCAAGAATACTTTCACTTTATTATATTTTTATAATTATTATTGTTTTTTTTTATAGCCAAAGAAAGGGAAGAGTACAAAACTGAGGGGGGAGTATTTTGAAGAAAAGGAAAATAGATTATGTTAGGGACTCGAAAACTGCAGAAAACTCTCACTAAGCATGTCCAAAAACACTGTTTGTACTAGTAATATTGGTTCATAAGTTGTTTTCATGAAAAATGAATCCACATTGTATCTGTAAAAGTAAAAGCGAGAGACCTATCATAATGGTTGCTAGAGTTAGATTCACAGTGAAATCTGTAAACTTTTCTTACAGATAGAAATTGATCCCAATACGACTTTGCACAATACACCCTGGCTTAATTGCTTATCGTGAAATGACTGGGCTTGTATTTTAATTTTTCTAAGTTCGGAAGTTGTCCTTATGTGCATGGCCACATGCATTAGAGGGTCAAAAACATGAAGATTGACCCCCAGCAGAGAGAGAGGGAGAGTATTAAGTAAATGCTTGCAAGAATATTCAACAAGTCAAGACCCCATGGATTACCTGAATTCTAGCTAATGCTGCAGATGCTTCAATAGCTCTCTGTTCCAGTTCTACTTCCCTTTCTCTAGCTGCCTGTTGTGTTAATAAATACTTCATTAAGCTGCATTTAAAAGCTCTTACATAGAAAATCTTATGATTCAGATATCCAAAAATGCCAAGAAGAATCAAAGAATACAATGAACACAGAAAAATGAATTCAACGTGGCAATCGGGGAGAAAAGACAGAGGAAGAAAGACAACCAGCTTGGTGGCGTTATGTGCAGCATGCTCTTCTTCAGCTCTTCGTTCAGCAGCAGCCAATTCCTCCCTTAGTGCCTGACATTAATAAAATCTTCACCTATTCAGAGTTCATTGTAATCATAGCCCTTAGAAGAAAAGCTCAACTTACTTGCATCATCCTTGTTTCAGTTAGTTCTCTATTTCTGATTACAGACTCCATATTTTCCTGATAAAGATATTTAGGGCAAAATAAGAAAAATTAGCTGACAAACATGATACTTAATCATTTATTAACTATAACACAATCATATCATGTGTGAATTCTATCCTTCAATATAGCATCAACATGATAATTACTTCCTCTGTCATCTAAATATGTTCTCACTTTCCTTCTTTTTTTTTTTTTTTTTTGTCATCTACATTTATTCCCTTTTTTATTTTCAGTAAAAAAAATACAACTTTTTCTACTTTTTCTTTACCCAAAAAAGTAAAAATTTCTAATTTTACCTATTTTTCTTAAAATCTGTGCCCGGTCAAATGAGTACACAATTAGATGACAGAGGGAGTACATTACAAAGCGATATAACAAGACAAAGGCCTAGGAGAAACTAACTGTTGTTTAAAAGACGAAGGGGAAACATTCACAATACATGAAACTAGACCAAATGAATTCAGTAAAATTTTCATTAATTGACTTAACTCCGAAATGCAACCCGGCAAGATGAAAGAGAAAGGGAGAAAAAAAATGACAATTTTCATTATTTTAAACGCAATATTGAGGTGATAACAGTTTCAGATCTTCCTAGAATATAAGCAATTCCTCCTTTTTCTTCTCAAAATCTGTACCTAGGAGACTGCTTTAGATACAGACAGTATTGACAAAACTGATATTCAATGGTATCAAGCTTATCTGAAAAATCAAAATATAAAATAACCTGCAGCGATGACAAATTTTCTTCAGACAAAGCAACTTGCTTCTTCAGAGCGTCAACTGAACCCGCAAGTGACTCTATCTCAGCATTCTTTGCAGACAATGCCTCTGCCATATTTGCCTCAACTCTGCTCACGTCTTCTTTAGATAGAAATAGATCTTTCTGAAGTTTCTTTATGCTAGCTTCATATGATTTAGTCAATTCCCTCTGCCACGGAAATGTATAACAACACAAGCAATTATTGCAACAGCTACAGGCACAGGTAAATGAAACTTTTAGTTCATAATTTTGTTTCACCTCTGCCAGAAGAAGCTCTTCTAATTGAGCATTCTCTGATTTGTACTCTTGCAGGCGCGATGACAGGCCAGCACAAACCTACGAATGACAATGTTAAGCATAAAGAATAAATACCAAGACACTAAACAAGTAGCGTGAGCATCTTGAAATAGGAAATATGTCAATGTCCTGGATGAACAAGGCAGCCATTGCTATCTAAAGAATCAACAAGAAACTGGTTGGATCAATATAACCAATTATCCTGAATTCATATTATTGCATGAACAAATCACAAAATTGCTAGCTTGATAAATTACATTTTAAAAATTGTGAATAAATAATTAATTTTTGCTGCAACTGAATGCTTTTCCTTCCACACATACCCTGTTATTTTTTCTATCATTCTGTTATTCATTATCAAAATATTCATAACTCACACAAATCACAAATTCACATTCTATCCAACAGATCCCAATCTCCCAGTTTTCACTTCTTCAAGCTCTCACATCAGCAACATTTTCCTTTAAAATGAAGAACAGAGTAGCTCATACCCACATCATTAAAAAAAAAAAAAAAAAAAAAGACTCTGCATACTGTGGTAGTTGTTTAATTTTTTGACACTGATTAAGATGCGGCTGGCATTGCTTATAATAGGTGTTATAGATTGAATTGGGTTGTAAAATAGTGTCTTACATGATGGATGCAAATTGCACAACACACGTTGGGATGCCCTGGGTACTTAAAAAGTAGGTATAAATGCAATGTGGATATCTTAAAAATTAAAAAACATGATTGTATTATTATCACTTCAATCATGAACTGTTAATTTCATGTGAAAAAGCTTTTGGTTCTCTTGCCATCCAGTGTTAACAAGACATTAGGAAGCATAAGCCTTGACCCATAACTAAATTTACCTATTTATACAACGAGAATCCTAACTTTAACTTTCCTATAAATACAAAATGTACTCATCCTTCAGCACAAACATTTTCATGTTTCCTTTGAAAAGCCAACACTTGCATATGTGAAAATTTTGATTTCTCGAAATTTCACATACAGTATTTTACTTCTTGAAGTATAATCACTTCATTCATTCATTCACCTCCAAACAATGCTAATTTGACTACTAATGCATACTTAGCTCCTTTCTAGAACATAGAGAGTTTTGAATAATCAGATGGCTATGCTGGAGAGTGGGTCCAAGTTTCAATTATAAACTAAATTAACACTTAAATAAACCTGTAATATGCATTCCAACATGGGTTCAAAAGCAAGCAACTTTTTTAAAAGCTTATTCAGGCTTTAAGCACCCCACTGAAGGCACCAGCACATTATGCATTAAGTCATCATAATTTCTTTCCTTATTTCCCATATTGAATCCAGTGGATTCAACCTAAACCACAGCCATCAAATTATAGGATACCAAAGAAAGTAACTTGCTCATTTTTCTTTGTTTTTCAGAATGTCAGTATCTTATTCACCAGAGGAAAATAAATCATTCGTGTCTATAGGAATTTTTATCACGTCAGACCAGGAGAAAGCTGTGAAAAGAATGGGTGTTTCTTTTTACAACTGGATAGATCTAGGAAAGCATACATATTTATATTTCAATTTAAACCACGGCGTAAAACTGAAAAGGTGAAGCCATCCGGAAGGACTGCTGAAGAACAACATAGCTAAATAAAACAGAAGTAAACAATTTTAATTAGATTAAACAATGAAAACTAAAACATGTCAACTTAAGATATCCAACCATCAATGAAAAGGAAAAAATTCCTCACCCGCGCAAGTCTGGCTTCTTTTGACTGTCCTGATGAAACTGTTGTCTTAAGTAATCCATGCGCCTGTTGAACTAAAATATTTAGTCCACAAGCTTTCCAAAAATTAAAATATCCTGAACATAGGTTCAGAAGTTACAGTTTTTGGACAAGTTTACCTCTTCTAATTGCTCTTGCACGTCCTCTGCAGGGGTAACAACGTTTTGTTCTACATGCTGCTTAATTCTGGTGTCAGGTTCAATTACTATCTCCGAATCCTTCAACTGTGTATCATTTTTCGTTGGAGTATCTTCATGTAGACCTTGCGGTTTTGGAAGGTCAGTGTTTTTCTGTGAACCAGTATCTTCTGACATCACATCATGGTTTGAGCTGTTGATGTTTTGAGTCGAGTCAAATGGAAAATCTCCATTCACAGCACCAATATCTTTGGTTGAGTGTGATTGATTCTCAACAGGTCCATCTGCAGATTCTCCACTTTGGAGATCTCCATTTATAGTTGAAGGTGCACCTTCCACATTAGCAGAACCATCAGTATCCGGGTGTAAGCTAACTTCCTTGACCTCCTCATCATGAGATATTGTTCCAGACAGGGAATCCTCTGTTACAGAACCAACTCTGTCAGTTTTCTTTTGTTCACCTTCACCATTGTCAACATCACTACTAGGAACACCGGGTTTGCTTTCAATATTTTCATTCGAAGGCATAGGAACATTTCCATCAGGTTGTGTTTGCGGTTGTGATGTTTTGGGGATATCTTGCTCTTTATTGCTTGAAGAACCTTGATTGGCCGAGTTTTTTTTCTGAGAATGAAAGAAATTTTCTTATTATAACATTACGGGGATAATATATTTGAAATGCAGAAACCAATGTCTTCTGACTAACTAAAAATGAAGGACATAGATAATTACCTTTCTTGATCTACCCTTCTTCGTTTGAGATCCTAGTCCATTGGATTCTTTATTGTTGGAAAAAGTAGAATGAAATTAGCTTAAAAATAAAAAAGTAGAAAAAAAAAGTTACAATAGCACATAGTTAAGAAGAACAATAAACAATTCTGAATTGGCTACAGGAACCCATCTTTTTAACTGAATGGAGTATCTCCAAAACTAGGGGCAGAGCTGCAGAGCCCTTCACCCGAGGCTGATAAGGCAAGGTTTTTGTATCTAAAAAATAGGAATACCACACTGCTCAAGCTTAAGACTAAGATCATAAATAAGTAACAGGGATTCACATAAAAATGAGGCAAAGAAGCTTAATATACAATTTAAGTCTTCCCGGCTAATCATAAACAATGGAAGAAACTTTCATGAACAATGTCCTTAGCAGAATGAATCAGGATTATGTTAGATTTTCATCTCCACAATAGATCAGAGCATTTTGGGGCATTTTACAGCACTTCTTTCAATACATTTGGTTGCTATGGGATCACTCATTTTGTGTTGTTTGCAACCATTTTTGTGCAGATTTTACAGCTTTCCCATGAATCTCTTAATTTTCTCTAGATACTGTCTAAAATCACATAAGTTTCTTCATAATAGACTGATAGTAATATCGGGGAAAAAAGAAATGTCAATAAGATTGCTATAGTTACAACTGTTTCGTCATATGGCATGATATAGCCCAAAAACAAGCCAAACAGATGGTGCAGAATGAAGCCTACACCTTGTCAAAGCACAGGGAGAAACCATTCATGTAAAAACTAAAACGTCACATTAATACAACCTGGTATCACAAACTAAAACAAATAATAATACTAATACTAATAATAATAATAATAATGCCAAATAGATAATACACACTAGCATTTCACAACCTATATGTAGTAACAATTACTAAAGGTTTTAAACTGCTGGCAATTGAGGAGAAGGCCCTAATCCTGGCGGTACAACCCTTGCATAATGTCAATGTGTACGTTCTACCATAACAATTAATTAATGTCATAGTTAAATCAGCAACAAGAAACCTAATAAACAGAAGAATTGCAAAGGCATTGCATCTTGAGGCATCAAATACAACCCAATCAAATAATCTTAACAAGACAAATTAACTAGGATACATGATCTTGAGTGTCTAAAGTTGATCCAAAAGGTTCACCATTAAAATGTGATCAACCACCCTTGATATGTAACTACCACGTTATTAGTTGGAGAGAGTTGGATATGTCATAGCTATGACCATATTATCTTTGAGAAACATGTCGCTTAACTTAGCAACAAATCAAGAAATCCAGATCCATTATCAAATGTGCATTCTAAACATATATCCGCGAAGAGGAATCAAAACATCGAAACATGCCTGGAGGGGGAACACGCAGCTCATCTGGCTTCTCACCAACCACAAGCTTTGCCCTTCGGTCCACCACTTCAAATATATCTGGAAGATACCAAATAAACATCCACAAATCATGATTTCATTCACCATTTAAAAATTAAAAACCATAGATTGACGAATTCCGTTCCCGAAAAGCAAACAATAATCACAAACAACCGCTCCATGTCAAAACGAGCTGCAAGAACCATACCTTCAGCCACTTTCAGCCACGAAGCCATCAAATTGACTCAGGAACTACAACAACAAATACACACATACACAATAAATAATAATAATAAAGAAAGACGGCCTGATATTCTTGGATGATCAAATGGGGCAATTTCCAAATCACAAAATACTTCGACTTGGACTGATCCCGCAGTGCAAACACTGCAAATCAAAGATCGAACACAACAAAATTATATATAATATATATACCGCGAATAATGATGAAAGATACAAATATTGGAAGGAATGCGCAGAGGTGGATCACCTGTCTTGGTTAACATTTCAAGCGATGGACGGATTAGTACGACGTCGTATCAAGCTTCCCGGAAAGCTATTCCTGTTCGAGCAAATGATCTGGGCCGTTCGTTATCGGGCCTGGGTTTAATCTTAATTCGATTATTGGGCTTCAATTATCTTAACAAGTTTTTGTTACATTAAGGTGGCATTTGTTACCCAAAACTAAATTGTAGATAAATGAGAGTAGAAAATAGAAATAGAATTGAGTAGAGAATAAGCTCTTGTTTGCTGAATAGATAATTCAATTGAGAAATGTATAAAAAAAAAATGCAGTTATATGAATAGATCAAAGAATAAATTATTAATTAGATAAAAAAAAAGTTTTAACGAACGAGAATTCATGAAAAGTATTTTTGGTGACTTTTTTTTTTAAAAAAATTATAAATTATATACGATGTTTTATATTTTAGTATAATTTTTTAAAAAAATCGTAAAACTTAAATACTTTAACAATAAATTAAATTTGATTTTTGTAAATTAAAAAATATATATATAAAAATTAGATAGTAAAAAAAAATTTAAAAAGTTAAAAAAAATATATACCGATGTATCATTTCTCTTCATTTCCTCTATCCGAGAAATAAAAACAGAGAAATAAAAACAGAGAAATGAAAATAATTTATTTCTCAAATTTTATTTCTCTAACTCAAACAAACAAAAGAAATGAGATCATTTCTATTTATCTGCCCTCGTTTCTATGTACCAAACACCCCGAGTGTGTCAATTAAACAAAAATGTATGTTTTTTCAAAAATATTAATATATCATACTTTCATTATTTTTATATTCTCTTTCCATAAAAAAATGTACAAGACCTTGGTACAATATCTTTATAACAGAATAAGGTCTTTAAGTAGTTAGTGTCTGCCGTTAGTAAAAGTACGATGCGACTCTGGAAAAGTTGTCGTATGATAGAGCAATTTGTTGTTAAGACCAACTCCAATGGTTGTGCAAAAAATGGGGGAGGGGCTTCAACCCACCCCCAAATCCCTACATTTTTTAAGTTATATACCGTATGGAGTAATACTCCATTTTTTAGTGGAGTTTTTATGGTATTTTGTGGTGTTTTTTTATTTTTGTTATTTTTTTAGGTGCATTGTGTAATTTTTTTTAGAAGATTATGTATAATTTTATACTATATATAATTTTATTTTTTTGAAAAAAAATGTATAATTTTATTTTTTAAAAGTGAGGTATAATTTTATTTTTTGGAAAGTGATATATAATTTTAATTTTTTAAAAAATATGTATAATTTTATTTTTAAAATTGATATATAATTTTACTTTTCGGAAAGTGATATAATTTTGTTTTTTTAGATTATGTGTAATTTTATTTTTTAAAAGTGATATATAATTTTATTTTTTTGAAAGTGATATGTAATTTTATTTTTTTAAATTATTTTATTTGTAATAGTTATTAATTATAAATTTTAATTTTCATATATGTAATTTTAAAATGATATATAAATTGTGTGTATGAATTATAATGTAAAAATAATTAATATTGTGGTATAATTTATAAATATGAAATATAATATAAAATAATATAAAAGAAGAATACATAGAAAATATACGCTTTTAGACTAAAATTGAAGATCTATTGTAGCAACGGTAAAAATTGAGTGATGGATTGAAGATGACCTAAGAGCATCTGTTGCAGTCACCTTATTTGTTACCTTATCATTGTTTTTTCAGTTTTTATTATAACAATCCAACTTTATTATCTTTCCCAAGAACAGGTTACCTTCAACAAAAATTAAAAAAGACAAAAAAAATTAAATTAAATACTATTCAAAACTTTTTGAAATTTCAAAATTTTAAATTATAAATTTAACATAAATTATTATTATTATATATATAATTCATTAATCAATTCTCATACTTTATCTATCATATTTTAAATTTATTTGTTGTTCTCTATTTTACTACATATATTATTTGGATACGATCTGAAAATAAAAATAATAATTTTTAAGTTATATTTTTTTTAATTATTATGATTATTTTGATGTTATTTTTAGTTAATATATATGTTGTATTATTCCGTATATATTCAATTATTAAAATTTATATAGGTTAATATTTAAAAAGTTAAAATATTATTATATAAAAATATTATTAGATAATAAAAATATATAGAAATATGTATGGATAAATAATTTATTTTTATATTGATTATGTGTATTATTATATAATAAAAATATATAAAAATAAATAAATTATTGTGTATTTATAAAATAGTAAAGATAATGAGTTGAAAGTGATTTACTATAACGGGGAATAAATGAAATAATTTAAATATTAAGGTGGATATGACATGGATGAGAGAGATAAAAGAGATAATGAGGGAGAGGTAGTGACTATAAGAGATGCTCGAGCGGACCGGTGATATGGTTTGCCATTGTGTATGGGTATCAGAGCACAATAGTTTTGGATTTGTGTGTAGTTCGCATCACATCGTACTTTTAAGTGGTGTTGGCATCTGTAAACCGCGGTATAGATACATGCAACCATTGTTCGCCATGATTTTCAAATACGACCGAAGTAAACAGTTGTAACTAATATATTTTGAAATTACCTTTGACTTGGGAAGCCGGTATACTATGTTTATGTAATAGCCAACCCGTAACGGAATCATCTCATTAGGTGTTTAATAAATTTGATTGTTGAACTCCTTGTCGATGTGTTCATTTTGACCGGATATAATTGTTGATGCCGATTTTCAATAATAAAAAGTAAAATTCGAAAATAGAAATTATCTTCGAATTTGATAAAATAAATGCCTGAGATTAAGAATTTCTAGACACTATACGATACATAAATAAACTAGGAAACTAAATACTACAGACTCATAAAGTAAATGGTGATCCCCAAAAGCAATTCACTTGAATTTGATGTCGATTGAAGATGGTTTCTTTAGGTCATGAACAGGCCTATTTAAAACCCATGTCAACCGCCACAACCAAGTCGTGCCTTCATCTCCGTTTGCCGGTTGTAACTTCTCTCAACCGTCTAAAAACTGCTTTTCGCCCGACCTGCACACCTGCTGCTCCGTCTCCTCTTGCCCGCCTTCCACTTGTCTGACCTCCGTATTAATCATCTCTTCGCCCGACTTCATCTTGCCCGACCTATATACCGTCCGAGCTAGGTGCATATCATTTCCTTCATCCGTCCTCACCTTGCCCGACTTCATTTTGCCCGACCTATATGCCGTCCGACCTGGAAGCATATTATTTCATTCGTCTGTCCTCTCCTTGCCCGACTTCATTTCGCCCGACCTATATGACGCCCGACCTTCTCATGTCTGACCTCCGTGCCCGACCTTATCACATCCAATCTCCGTGCCCGACCTTATCACGTCCGATCTCCGTGTCCGACCTTATCTTGTCCGATCTCCGTGTCCGACCTTATCTTGTCCGACCTCCGTGCCCGACCTTATCACATCCGATCTCCGTGCCCGGCCTTATCATGTCTGACGTGATTTTGTAGTTGCAGCTTACTCTTTCTCGAGGTGGGATACCTTAACTCTTGATCATATCTGCTGTCTCTAGGTCCTCTCAATGCTCTAACGCCCACACCAAGGGTACTAGTGTGAAGAAATTCAAGTCCCGAGCTCCAATATTTACTATTGATTTCTCCCATTTTGTGTGCTTTTCGAACAATGATTTTATATACAACGGGCCATTATCAAGAAGTAGCATGAGAAGGACTGTCTCCGAGGGACAGTTGAACGAGCAACTTACATTGAATGTACAGAAATGGCTATAACAGAGTTTCTCTTTTCCGTGCCCGACCTTATCTTGTCCGACCTTTGTGCCCGACCTTATCACATCCGATCTCCGTGCCCGGCCTTATCATGTCCGACCTCCGTGCCCGACCTTATCACGTCCGATCTCCGTGCCCGACCTTATCTTTTTTATCACAGTTTTCTCCCGATGAAGCCTTTTTCTTAACAGCGCTTGGACTTATATTTGGACCCTTTTTTAAGGTCCTACTACTATTAACATACCCATTAGACTCTACATCAATCCTTAACCCAATTTAATAGACTCATTCTCAAAAACCCTACACATTGGTTTTTTGTGCTCAACAATAATTTTTTTGAGTTTTTATTTGTTGTGGGTGAATTTTATGTCATTAGATAGATCTTGAAGTTATCTTTTCAATGCCATTGACAAAGAGTAGATTAAATGTTGGACAAAAGAGATATGTTCAATTGATCTAAAATTTCACAATAGATAGTAATTTGAGTTAGCTATCCATTTCAACAAACGAGAGGTCAATCGGATGTTGGACAAGTGAGTTATAATCCAAATAGTATCTTAATGTCAAGATTGTACGATCACCGTATGGCCAAACGATTTTACAAAACGTGTTTTACATATGTTGATGAATTAAAAACCTCTGCAACTCTCATTTCTCCCCCATTTCGTCCTCTAACAGTGGATAAGGTTCATGGAAGGTTAGAATCACTTCATTTCATTTTAAGTCGATTTTTACGGTAAATTTTTCAGCTAAATCATATTTTTTGAATCATCTTTCCATCCTAAAGCATTATCCAAGTTTTGTTCCTCTTTCAATTGTGTAGTATCAGTTTTGGAATGAATTTTTCGATTTCATGTCATATTTGACTTGGTTTTGGTTAGTAAATAATGTATTTGAACCTTTTTTTTTTTTTTTCCGTTTAGCAATTGAATTTGATGTCAATTTTGAAAAATTGAGTTCAAGTACATTTTCTCCAAATTGATTTCTAAATTAGGGTTTTAAACTTAATTTGACATATGGAAGTGTTAATTGATGGAGTTTTTCATATATTATTGCAGTTAGACCTTAAATTATTTGATTTGAGATTTCGAAATTGTAAAATCGACGTCGTTTGAGCCGTACCCTAAATTTTCAGCCTTTTTTAAATGAGTTGAATTGAAAATGATTTATAAAAGGTACCCTAATTTTTCAGCCTTGTGAATGATTTTGGTAATTGTTGGATTGAGTTGGGATCATTTAGGAGCCGTCTGTGTGATTTTTATCCGAGTTACCAAGCTTTGTGCATTGTTATTGTTTAATGTTTGTTTTTAATTTTGGTTTAAGACTGTTTGGAGGTTCCAGCCGGTTTGGGGTTGTGTCATGTTTCCATTAGGCGAGATAAGTCTACGGTTGAAGGAAAAGGTTAAATTATATACGTTTGAAATGAATGGACCGTTATGATTATGCCTTCGTGATATTATAATACTAATTGCTAAATGGAGTTGATGTAATATATAATGTATATGATAAATTATTTGTTGAGTTATTGATGTTGTTAACGAACAAATAATTATTAGTAAATTGTATAAGCCGTGGATTTAACTATACTTAACTGTTGATTGACAAGTCAATTGGTAAATTATGTTAACTGTGAATTTGGCTAGACTTAGTCATTGATTGACAAGTCGATTGGTAAATTATATAAGCCGTAGATTTGACTAGACTTAGTCGTTGATTGACAAGTCGATTGGTAAATTATATTAGCGTGAATTTGGCTAGACTTAGTCGTTGATTGACAAGTCGATGGTAAATTGTATTAGTCATGAATTTGATTAGATTTAGCCGTTCATTGATAAGTCAATTGGTAAATTATATAATTTTTTTTTTCTTCCCTTGAGACCTATGAATTCCAGCTGTATTTATTCATAGTCATAGCGGGTTAATTTTGCTAAAAGTGAAAAGTAATATTCTCTCCGTCCAGCTACAAAGTATACATATTTCTATTTTGGGACGCCCAATTACAAAGTAATCATTTCATTAAATACCCCACTTTTTTCCACAAATACTCTTAGGGTGTGTTTGTTTAAAGGATTTGTGAAGATTTCCACTATTCATCCCATTTTTTTTCCCAAAAAACATCAAATCAAACACCTATTTTTCATTTTTTATATTATACTAAAAATCAATTTTACATTCAAAATATCACATCAACACCTATTTATATCACATCATAGAACTATTCAAATTCAAAATTTTTACTATTCAAATCCCAACTCAAAATCCAAACCCCCAAACAAACACACAACATCACATCATTACTTTTATATCAAAAAGCAAGGGCAAAAATGTCATTACACTACTTTTACCTACCCACTATAATTAAAATACTATTATTTCTCAAACTCTGCGCCAAAAGTAAATGTATACTTTATACGTGAACGGAGGGAGTATAAATTTATGTATTGTAATGTTAATAATATAATTATATTGAAATATTGATATACATATGTAGCTTGGGCGGAAAGTCCCTCTTGCTATGTGTTGTAAAATTATTATAGAGATAATAAATAAAAATATTAATTATATTTGTCATTATTTATATATATACACAAAATAGTGGTTAACGGATAATTAATATTTTTATTTGATATATCTATAATAATTTTACAACATAAATATATATATTTTTATTTATTTGTATAAAATTTTATTATGTAAAAATTTATATTTGAATATATTTTATTTAAACATAATTTTTAAAATATTTAAAAATATATTCTAAATATTTTTTAATAATATATATTGGGTTTGTTTGCCTAAAATTTTTTTATGACATTATTTTAATATATATATATATTTTATCTTTTCACAAAATTTAATATTTAATATAAAAATAGTTTTTATATTACCAATACAATTTTCTATATCGTTACAATAAAAAAATCTTTAAATTAAACACTAAAAAACAAATCCAATTCTTATAAAGATATTGAATTTGTTTATTTTGTGAAAATAAAAAAATATAATTTTTTCAAAAAATTAATATGTTACACGTATTCTTTTTATTATTTATATAATATTTGTATATTTTACATTAAAAATTATTAATTTAAATTAAAATACAAAACAAACAAATTCATATTTAAAATGAGACGTACGAAGTATCTATGATAATACTCCTTCCCTTTCCGATTCAGTGTTACAGGAATTTATGATAAATATAATTAATAAAAATAATTATTTTATACTATAAATAATTATAAATTAAAAATTTTAAAATAAAATTAAATTATATAATCAATTTAAAAAAAAAACGATGTGGGACGAAGAAGAACGAATGATACGAGAAGTGGGAGCCACGGAGTATAAAATTATAAGCGAGGCAGGTTGCCAAGTGACTGGAACCAATAAAATCTCGCCACGTTGTCATCGTGACGCGTCATCCAATAAGAGTTAATAGAGTGAAAATAGCTCCAACGAGAAGGATTAATTAAAACCATTCAAGGGCAATATCGTCTTTTCAAGATAACGAGCGTCCCCATCGAGAACGAGAGGTCTTGTCCTTGGTCAGTCTACTGCTGCTGTGTACAAACTACACGACCTCTCCCCACCGGAGTGAGCGTTTTTTATGAGCGAAATTGGAAATCTCAATCCCCAAACCCAAGAATCACGCCCCTCGATGGCGGCGCCGGTGGACCAACAACCCACCACTCTCCGGAACGCCTTCGGGAATGTCTTCTCCTTCTTCATTCTGCTGCTCATCGGCGTTATTGCTTTCTCGATCCGTCTTTTCTCTGTAAGCTCTCGTTTACTATGTTAATTGATGTGCATTCGTACACTTGCGGCGGATCGAGTCGCTGAGTGTGAAATTTATCTGGTTGGAAAGGAACTGAGGAGTTAGTTTGACTTTTTCTTGGCCCTGATAATGCGTATTACAGGGGTGAATTATCTGCGTAATTGTTTGCTGTTTTTTCTTAACTGAGAATCTTGAGTGCAGGTGATTAAGTACGAGAGCGTCATTCATGAATTCGATCCTTATTTCAACTACAGAGTGACACAGGTTTGTCTGGTTTTTGGTTACTGGATTTTTTTATTTTTATGTTTTGTTGCTCTGTTGTGCTGCAAGGTAAATTATTGTTTTAAAATGTTCCGTTTGGTATTCTGGATTATTTTTGGTGGAATATTGTTTTTGAAGCAAGTTAATTGAGTAAGATCATGTGTAGATGCTAAGCGTTGATAAATGAAAGGATTAGAACAGTTTGGAATCTCAAGAAAGTTGAATGCAGGGATATTCATATATACCTTGTTCGGTACAAAATTTCCTCTGAATGGGTATTGATGGTTTTGGGTGGATAAAAATGGAGAAATCCTAAAAGTTGGGAATATAGGAGCTTGGATTAGCTGGACCAGGAAGCATCACACTCTTAAAAATGTGTATTAAAAGAGGAATCTTTGGCCTCTGCTAACTGATTTCCTTCTTATAGCGCTTTATATATTAGCTGTGCGCTTAGTTATTGTTTAGTGGTTCATTTGAGAGTGATTCCTCATCTTATCTACTGATTTTATGTTGATTTGCTTGTTTTTGCGCCATAGTAATTTCCCACTCTATGTTTTTTTGCTTATATATTACGGAAGGTGATAATAATTTTCTTGATTTCAGTTTCTCACGAAAAGTGGAGTGTATGATTTCTGGAATTGGTTTGATGATAGAACATGGTATGGTCAGTCTTTGTCAGAACCAGCCTTTGCTTTGCGTTTTTACATTAAAATGTTTCAATTTCTTTGTATTGTCTTTGTTTCAAACTGAGTTTGTTTGTTACTCTTCTAGGTATCCTCTTGGACGTGTGATTGGTGGAACTGTTTATCCAGGACTTACTTTGACTGCTGGTACTATTTGGAGGTGGGTATTTGCGGATTTTGGTTTTTTTTTGTTACATAAATATGCATGAGAAAAATTCTTGATGAATGATATCTATTTATATAAATAATTATATATTTTTATAGAGGTCTTTACCCATGTAAGTATGAACAACTCTCCTTTTCTTTAATTTTAATTCATGGTTCTGTTATTGACATAATATTTTTTGGCAGGGTTTTACACGCCCTAAATATTCCTCTATCTGTGGAAACTGTCTGTGTGTTTACAGCTCCTATATTTTCAGCTTTTGCTTCTTGGGCAACATATCTTCTGACAAAGGTTCAACTCGATAAACTTACTATATTGTTTTGTATGGTACCCATGATGTGATTTACATTAAAGTTAAAATATCCATAAAATTTATCAGTAAAGCTTTCATTGACTAGGAAATCAAAGGTGCTGGTGCTGGGTTGACTGCTGCTGCTCTTTTAGCCATGGTAACTTTATTTTATTTCGTGAAAGTTGGAATTACATATTGCTTTCCTTCCTTGCAATAATTCTATGTTTTGTTCTAGTACATGCTCTTGTTTGATGTCTCATTGTTCTCATGGATGTGCCAACGATACAAGAGCAGTCACTTTTATTCTCGATGTGTCTAACCCATCATATATCAGATGTACCTGAACTTTACTCTTATTGGAATTATTTCATGTATATATATGTTTTTCCTTCTATTTTAGAGCGAATATTTGTTTCAGACTTGCAAATTGTTATAAGATAATTCACTGAATTTTAATTGAGTCGCTGCTCACGGTAATGATAATCAATGCTGATACTTAAGTCTACACCTTGGATATTATTTTCATGTTCTAGGTGAATATATAAGTTGAATTTCTTTTTCTGTGCCTTTTTAAAGTAGGAATGCATTTTAAAATTGGGCACTGTTAAAGACAGCATATGTAACGCTCAAAACTGTCATGACAATTAGTATATCTTTAATATGAAGCACTTGCATTTTTGTGGTTGATCAAATTGTATATACTTTCCAAAACAAGGGGAAAAGATTCCTCACAAATCACAATAAAGCTATATATTGCTTCTCTTTGGCAGTGCTGAGTTACTCTAGGTTCCAGCTACAGATAGTTAAAAGTTTCTGGCAGTTTTTATTGAGAGCATCCATATGGAATATTAAAATTTCAATACCTTGTTCCAGTCAAATTACATGACAAGGCTGGAATTTTCAAAGCAGCATACGACTGATTGTTTCATGTCTTATTGCATGGATATGCTTCTATCGTATATACCTGTCTTGTTGGAGGGATAATTTTATACCTTAAGATACCTGGTGTTTGATTAATCAATTTGCATAATCATAACATGGCTTTGTACTTTATTCCCACAGGTCCCTTCATATATTTCTCGATCTGTGGCTGGCAGCTATGATAATGAAGCTGTTGCTATTTTTGCATTGATCTTCACATTCTATCTTTATGTAAAGGTGACAATTTGACATTTTTTCTTCTTGATAATTTACATGCCGATCCCTTATATTTCTATTGAATGCAGACAGTGAACACTGGATCCCTTTTCTATGCTACTCTAAATGCTATAGCATACTTTTACATGGTGAATCTCCCAACTCCACACTCATTTCCTTTTAACTTAACCATGTTAGTATTGTTATCAAGTTTGTCGGAGGTACTTCACACTCATTTCCTTTTCAGGTTTGCTCCTGGGGAGGGTATACGTTTATAATAAATCTCATTCCAATGCATGTTCTGCTATGCATTGTAACTGGTCGCTATTCTCCACGCCTATACATTGCTTATGCTCCATTTGTAAGTAACTTCAATGCAAAAGCCACGTTGGTATTCTGTGTGAATTTGTATATTTGTCTCATCATGATTGCTGAAGATGGTTGTCATGCTAATTTAATCTATGTAGAAAAAGCCACATTAATCATGCATTAATACCTCAAAAATATAAATGACCTTATCCATTTGCTGTTTTTTAAATCAATGTTATTTGTTTTCTTTGACTTAGATATTTTATACTTAATCATGCATTAATACCTCAACAATATAAATGCAGGTCATTTTGGGAACATTGTTAGCAGCTTTAGTGCCTGTTGTAGGTTTTAATGCTCTCATGACATCAGAACATTTTGCCTCATTTCTGGTAAGTTGGCTGGGTATTGTATTTTGTCCTCTTATTGACTTAATATATCATTCTATATGTTTTTTTTTTCCGAGAATGGGCATATGTGAATGTTTGATAACAATACAATATTGATGTATAGCTCTTCAGAAATTGTTCTTTAATTCATATCTTAAATAATCTAGAGCCGAAGTTCCTCTTATTTTATTGTTGATCAGCATCTGGAGTGGTAAAAGTGACAAAACTGTTATGCATTATTGGCCAATATTTCAGTTCAATGGAAACTACTAACAATTAACAAGATTGTAACAGTAGTTTTTTTTTTTTATGTTGTCTGAAATAATTTGATTCAGTGTGTACAATTAAGGACAATCTATTGTAGAGAAGAGTCTATCAGGAAAGAGCTGACCTGAAAGATAGTCTTTGGATTTAGATTTCTAATGTTGTTTATGATATCCATAAAGCCTATGCTGTCTCTCTGGAATTTTGATGGCAATTTTCACATGTTTGTCTGTTGAGCCCATAATGCTGGATGGTGCTTTATTAAATGCAGAGGTTGCCAGAAATATTTTTGTTGTTGGAAAACTTTAAATTCAAGAAAATAAAAGAACACTCAGAAAAACGTTGTTGGAGAATATGACATTTGAAGAAGATGAGTTTAAATTATTGTAGGTGAATACAACATTTCAGGAGGGAAATTTTTTTTTTAAATGAATAGTGAAAACAGGGAATAGAAAACACAACCTAGCAAACCTAGTAAAACTTGCTGGTTTTCACTGGCAGAATGGCAAGAAGTGGCCGCTTGTTGACTGTGCCATAATGATCTGTATTCAGTGCTTCTAGATGCTATACCTTTTTATTTATTTTATTTGGGAAACTTTTTTGTTACAATGATCCATAGTTTAGGTGGTTGCCTTCATTTTATCAATGATTAGGTCTTAATTAATGACATACCTATGGATGTTGGTATTGTTCCTCATAACATAATTCATGTTTTTTTTTGGATGTTTATACTCAGGTCTTCATCATTTTACATGTTGTGGCTCTTGTTTATTATATCAAAGGAATTCTCTCACCCCAAATGTTTAAAGTAGCAGTCACTCTTGTTGTTTCGGTTGGGCTGTAAGCTTCTTCTCTATTTTTCTGTCAATTTTTTTATGTGCTAAATGGATGAAAGCATGGCATGGTTAACAGGAGTGCTATGGAATCTATAAGACAATTCGTATGTTATAATTTGTTTATATATACGTATATACATATTTTACAATGCTAATATTGCCTAAGGATCAGAGTCATTTGTCTGCAATAAAATTAGTAGGGCAGTCTCCATTGACTTAATAATGCTATCCAGGATCATTTGCTTTGCTGTCTTGGCTGTGCTAGTAGCCTTGGTAGCCTCAAGTCCAACAAAAGGATGGAGCGGACGAAGTCTGAGCCTTCTAGATCCGTAAGCACTTCTTATTTACTTCAAATAGTTGAAATTTAGACATCCAACCATGTATGATTTCCTCTCTCTACCTGCCATTATCGCCCCCAACACACGCACACACATTCCCTTTTATCTTTAGCCAAATTGCTATTTTTAAATATTGAAAATATGTGTTGCATAGGAAGATTGTTATTATTCTGAACATTAAAGTCATGTAATTTGAAATATGTATAACACAACGGAATACAGAGTATTCAGATTATACTCAGTATATAATTTGTCTCTACTATCAGTGTTGCTATCTTTATATGGAAATGCATTTATGGATAAGATACTTGGTTCCAATGCTTCTCTTTTTTATTTTGTGGCATTATCAGCTGAATCCATGATCTTTACAAGTGTGCTCTTGGTGAGATATAGGCATTCAGATTTTAACACAGTTTCTTGTTTTTCTGAGCTCTCATACCTTTGTTTTCTCCTTTGCCGAAACTCTTTCTATATATGTTTAAATTGCTATTGGCAGCTATTATTAGTCAATATGTTACTCAATTGTTATGAAATCATCCTTGATTTTCCCTGTGCAGCATCCTTTCCTGGATCAGAAACTTTGGTGCTAATAGCTTTAATATTTACTTTCTCCGGCATAGATTTGATGCAGTTAGAAACATACTTTTTTCCTGATTGCTACACTATGCAGTGTGTAAGTGTATACCTAGAGCTAAAATGTAGATGTTTTAATTATTTGTCTTTAATATTTGTGATCATTTGCTCTTATGACATTGCACTTACATTATCAAACGATTTAATTAGCACAATGTTTATTGCATCCTATATGCTAGATCTTGAATTCGCCAATGATGACATGAAAATTTGCTTTAATGTAATTTTGACACATCAATCTTTTTCTTTCCGGATATTCTCTCCCCTGGGACTGAGAACAGAACTTATGCTAGCAAATATATACCAATTATTGCAAGTGTCAGTGAGCATCAACCTCCTACATGGCCATCCTACTTCATGGATATTAATGTTTTGGCATTTTTGGTTCCAGCTGGCATTATTGTGAGTTCCCAGATATTTTTATTGATTTTCGTTTTTTCTTTGGTAGAGTTAATGTTATGCACCTTCATTTATTTATTCATTAATCTTCTACGCATGTTGGAATTTGCAGGCTTGCTTTTTGCCGCTGTCTGATGCAAGCGCATTTGCAGTCCTTTATATTGTTACGTCTGTATATTTTTCTGGTGTCATGGTATGAATACAAACATATATGCAAACAGAGTTTCTATCATCTGCATCATATATATGTATATTATCTTTTATGCTTCCTTACAATGTTAATTTTCCTTCGATGATACTAGGTGCGCCTAATGCTTGTACTTGCACCTGCGGCTTGTATAATGTCTGGGATTGCTCTTTCACAAGCCTTTGATGTTTTTACTAGATCAGTGAAATTTCAATTGTTTGGTAAAACAGAAAAGCCCCAGATTAATGTAAGTGAACAATTCATTCACAAATTGCATTATATTAAATAAAGGGGACTGAAATATTTTGATCTCCATAAGGCAGGGGATACCAGTAGTGTTACACAAAATGAGGTTGTGAAGCCTGAGAAAAGTGAGGAGACAGTAAAGGAGCGACCTTCTAGAAAAAGTAGGAAAAAGGAAAAGGAAAAGGAAAACATAGAGAAAGTTCCTTTGGTATCCCAGGTTGAAAAGAAGCTTCTCGTTCTACCCTTGGAGGCTTCAGTGATTTCTCTTTTCTTACTTGTCTTGCTGGGAGCATTTTATGTGGTATGTTCAGATGCTGATGTAACCATCTTTTATTTTTTCATTATCACGAACTTGTCATAGAAGAATTATCTGTCTATTGTAGTGCAGAGTGGGGGTATATTTATCCCTGAATTTGTGTTTGCTTACGTGGTTATTGCATTGTTGATTTGATATGTTTATTCACATAAATGCATTTACTTTATAGATTCTAAAATCAATATAGTTCACAGGCTGGGAGAGGACACAGGTTTGTTATTAAATCCAGATTAAAAGAAAGAAAAATCATATTCTAGATTATTGCTTGACATATTATGGTTACTTTTATAGCAATATTTTTAATTAGAACTTATAGTCAGTGGTTGCCCTCCTAGCAAGTTCTCGGTAGTAAAGCCTCAAAGAGTTGACGATAAATATTCTGTGTTTTTCTATTGATATTAGATGTCAGATTTATCTGGATACAGTTCCTCAATAAAAGTAAATGTGGTTTTATGGAAAATAACTACCATTAGTTCCTGATACCTATCTTGTTGTTGGCTGATCATTATTATGACAGTTAAACTTTTGACCTGTACAGTTAATTAGAAAATATCCTTGGTGCAGGTTCATTGTGTCTGGGCTGCAGCTGAGGCTTATTCTGCCCCATCCATTGTCCTAACCTCTCGTTCCCATGATGGCCTTCATGTCTTTGATGACTTTAGAGAGGCATATGGTTGGTTGCGCCATAACACTGAGGTGGATGATAAAGTAAGCTGATCTGCCCAATGATTTTATATTCATGGCCTGTTATTTCTTGCAAATGTTTGCATTCATATTAGAATCTGCACTATATCTGGTTGCGCCATAGCGATTAATTATAAAGGTTCAACATTTTGCCTAGAAAAATTCTAAGTAAAATGATTGGTTTTAAGCATTAGTTTGTTTTCTACCACGAGTTAGACTCGCATTCACTAAGTATCCTATATAATTTATTAGCATGGTTTGAAGTACCTATTACCTCTGCATGCCAATAATTTGTTTCTTCCGAACTTCCAAAGGCTTACATTGGATTGTATCAAGTTGCTGATTTCATTTTTTCTCCAGGTTGCATCTTGGTGGGACTATGGTTACCAAACAACAGCAATGGCTAACCGCACAGTTATTGTCGATAATAATACCTGGAACAACACACATATTGCAACCGTTGGAACTGCTATGTCCTCTCCTGAAAAGGCTGCTTGGGAGATATTTAACTCATTGGATGTAAAATATGTTTTAGTTGTTTTTGGAGGTTGGTGTTTTATGCTCTTATCCCGATAGATTTTTCCCAATGAAATATTTCTTCATTGATTGTCTCCTTGTTTCAGGTCTTGTTGGATATCCTAGTGACGACATTAATAAGTTTCTGTGGATGGTTCGGATAGGTGGAGGTGTATTTCCTCACATCAAGGAACCTGATTATTTAGTGAGTTATATTTACATCGAATAGCACCTTACTGACGCACATTTATATTTACCTGGAATAACCGAGCTTTATATAACTAATCAACCTGTTATGGTGTCTAATAGAGAGATGGTCAGTACCGGATTGATGCTCAAGCAACTCCGACAATGCTCAACTGCCTGATGTATAAACTTTCATATTACAGGTGCGACTTTCTTGGGTGCATACATTTTCTGTCTTTTGCTTTTCTGCTCGGAAAGATCTATCATGTTCATTGCTTTTCTTGTAGATTTGTGGAGACAGATGGTAAAGGTTTCGACCGGGTCCGACACACTGAAATTGGGAAAAAGTATTTTAAGCTCACCCACTTCGAAGAGGTAATCCTGACACGGCAATACTCAATCCGGATTAAATTTTTAGATGAGATAGTCATTTAATATTTTATATATATCGTTTTCCGTTGCCATGCTCATTAATTTATATTTATTTAAATTAAGTAAAAAGTGTCCCGAGTTGTAAAACTACTGGATATGCATAGAGTTTTCATCGTTGTAAGATGTAAGAATTCAGCCTCTACACCCGACAAGAGACTGAGTAGAATCCAACTGTAGAAGAAATCAACCAACAATATGTTTTTTATTACTTTGCGGTATATGTATTAATCAATCTTTTTGTGTAATGGTGTTTCAAAACATCTTTAGGTGTTCACCACTCACCACTGGATGGTTCGAATATACAAGCTGAAGCCTCCGAGGAACAGAACCCGTGGGAAGAACAAGAAATTGAAATCCGTGAGTCGACCAACCATAACATGTCATGAACCCACCCGGTACATAATGTATTGAATGAATATAGCTGACTTAAGTCTTTTGCCTTATTGAGCAGAAAACAAGCTCTACGACGTCGAAACGGGGTAGAGCAACAAAGAGGAATCCATGGAGTTAAGAAGAAAGAGATTTGCAATTGCTTCATTCCTATAATGAATGAATGAATGTGTATCATCATCGTCATCATCAAGGAATAGAAAGAGATGTAAGATGTAAGGTAGCCAACGATTTTGCTTGCAGTCTCACCTTACCTTACCTTACCTTTTTTGTCATTTTAATCAATGTTGGGATCAATAGGCTAATGGACGGACTATAACAATATTCGATTTGGTTGAGAAATCATCATTATCTCACCTTTTGTGCTTGGATTGGAAGAAAATTTGATTTCCGGCCTTAAACTTATTACGGGGAGGATCGGTAGGTTTCCGAGCGACTCTTCGGTGGTATGAGATGAATTTTGGAAAAGACAAAACTAGTGAGTTGGAAAAAGAAAAAACTGGTTAGTCGAAAAAAAGACGCCCAAATGAATTGTATTGATTCAGGTCGAATTAACATTATTTCTACAAAACTAAATCAAGAAAAGAAAATAAAGAAAGAAAAAGAGAGATTTGTTGTGGATGAATTGACTATCTTGCTCACGTTTGGTGATATAATGATTATCATCTTCAATTGTATTTTCTTCTCCATAATCACTTTAATTAACACTTTGATTGTATCATTATGATTTTGTTAATGGCAATTCATTCCAAAGTTCTATAAATCTCATTCATTCCTTTATTTCAAAGTTAAATGTTGCTCATTATCTTCTATGAATCACCAAATCCTAATTCCTTGTCGTCGAAGTTGCTCCATTACTTTCATTTCTTCATTGATTGCTTCTCCATAATTGCTTTCATGACACTCACTTTAATTGTGTCATTATGGCTTTGTTAATGACAATTTATTTCAAAGTTTCACCAACCTCGTTCATTCCTCTATTCCAATCGCCACACCTTATTAGTCACCGATCGAGCTAGTTTTTCCATTTGTCTTGCATTTTTTTGGGCCGTCGCTAATCATTACCCATCGTTGATTGATTCAATTCAGATGTTTGAATCTGATGCTAATAAAATTATATTGCGTCAGCCTAAGTTGTTTCAATCCGATTGATCAAAATTCTTCGGAATCGGCCCGCCATTATTGATGGAATTGTTGTGTGGCAACATAATAACTTCTTATATTTTACACAATATTGAAATATTAGATATGAAATAGATATTGTGACATATACATACCTGAATTGCCAAAGGAGAAAAGCCGATTAACTTGCCACAAGAAATTATAGCTCACCATAATAAGTTTTCATCAATTGGTTCGATTTGGCAACCAATCGTACCAAAAAATGCCTCACTAAAGTTGACGACAACATTTGATGCCAATTCTATATAACGACTAATGCAACTAGACTCAATCTCATCATAACCTCACTTCTCAACATGATTGAAATGATCAATTCAAAATTAGACCTCATAGGCGATGGTTTGGTCGGTCAACAATCTATTTTAATCGAAATAGAGGCTCAACCAGCTTTCTTTCCAGCATGAAATTTCCCTCAATAAAGCAATTACAACATCGAAGAGTCAAACTTTTTAACTGCAAGCGATCATGATCAAAAGGTTGTGCTCAAATCAAGTTTGTTTCATTCCCTTCCATCATCTCGCTAAGGTCTATTTTCAGCAATGTATCTTGCTCCCGGAGCGTTAGCGATTTTCTCAAATTTGAAAGGAACAACTCAAGTCTTTTAGTTTTTTTCATGTTCAAATAACATCATTGAATTTTCGCTTAGGCTGCCCTCTGCTCACCCACGGCCTTATTTCAAAGCCCGTTGAGATAAAATGCACTCCATGTCCATCTTTTCATTGCACAACTTATCAAATTCTTGTTTAACAACTTTCTCATTGACTTCAATTTTTCCTTCTAATTTTTCATTGTCTTCATGAGTCGCAACTTTTTCCATCATGTCAAACAACAAGTTTGAACATGACCGGTATCCACTTTTGGATTGTCAACTGAGTTGTCGACAATCAAACACTAATTGGAACCTATTTTTGCTTGATAGGTTTGATGATTGCTCCAAAAGCTCGATCAAATTTCATTTGACTTTTGGCGATCAAGTTGAACTCATTTTCTCTCATGGCAACTTTTGATTTACTCATATTTTCTCGATGCTGCCCATTTTCTTTTTCCGCAGCTCGTTTGAAAATTAAGTTGAACTCTTTTTTTGCTCATGAAGAATAATGGCTTGCTCTTCTCTCGCCGCCATCTATTTTCTTTGGCCGCAACCTTTTTTATGATCAAACTGAAGTCTTTTTGGCTAATGGCGACTAGTAATATAATCATATTCTTTCGCCATTTTCCATTTCTCTTCGTTGTAGCACATCTTATCAACTCTTCGGGCCAATCTTTTAGGTTGATTATCTGATTCTTTTAGCATGCGTTCATCTTGAATTTTCTTCTCTATTTTTTTTTTTGACGGCGTCTCTTTTGTGCCCGTGTCAAGCACTTTGGCACTTGAACTGATGGTATCTTACAATTCACAAATCATTCATCCAACTATAGTACAATTGGCAGTTTCCTTATTGAATGAGAGCGAATATTTTCCCGATCGAAAATAGTGACATCATAGGTATTGTCATATTTCTTAGCGTCAATTTTCACAATCATTGTTGATGGGCTCAAATATTCTTTTAGCGTTTGCTTGTCCATCAACGACATAACATTCACTCCCACCACACTCACCCTCTATCTTCATGTTTTGCTCTTTTAGTTCAACAAGATCTTCATCATCGATGATGATGAAAACATGATCGGCGAGCTTACATTGATTGTCGGACTTCACTTCATCTATCATTTACTTAGCCTAAACAACACGAGCGGCAAGCTATTGGAAATCGTCAAAATTATGCAATGTCAATTCTTCTTTTAAGTTGTGGGTGCAAATTTCTCACCACTATATGTGCCACTTGAGAATCCGTGATTCATACACTGCAATGAATTTTCATATGTCAAAAGCGCTCAATATATGTTGCTATTGATTCGTCAACTTGTTGTTGTCTTAATCAAATCAAGCAACGTAACTTCAACCGGCTGGCTATAAAATCGATCATGAAATGCCCTCTCTATCTCTTTCCACGACCATGTGGAGTTTGGTGGTAACACCAAATACCAATTAAATATGGTAGCGAGAACATTTGAAAGTTATGCCAATTTCTAATTTCACCACATTGTGCAATAAAATGGCTCACATGTTCTTGAACGCCGATCTTCCGAAAAAGAGTAAATTTAGGCATTTCGGTGTCATGTGGAAATAGCATCATTTTGCCTACCCAATCGGGATAAGACTGATGATATGATGATCAATCATTTGAGCTTAGGTGATAGGAATTGCCTCTGTCAACCTTTGTGGATCGATGACGGTTTGAGACACCGGAGGGGCTGACGGACAAACTTGCTGCCCTCAAAATATTGTACCAACAGTGTTAAGACCACTCACTGGAAAAACAATCGGTGGCTAACAGTTGGAAATAATTGGCCATTGGGGCATCAAACTGTCGCTGCCTCTAAAAGGCTGATGCTCCGAACCCAACGGTGGAATTAAGGGTGTTGAATCAACGGGGTTATAATCGCTAGTCGATGGAATTAAAGACGGTTGTTTCTCTTGAAATTTTTGTTGAAAGTAATGGCTGCTTAAGTCATCAAATGATCGTTGCCCCTCAATAAATTGTTGCTGAGCGACTTCTTGCTTGAGGAACAAACGATTTCTGTTAACCGCCAAATATTGTATTCAAGGTCGTTACAACGTCGCCTGGGCGTCCTAGTGGTGTATCATCACCTCCAGAATAAGTCGCCTCGCCGTTTGGCGAGGCTGGCGTCTAGGCATCACTTTGGCGACACCACTCCGCCAAGGCGACGCCATACGGCGCCAAGAAGAAGCTTTGAAGCTTTGGGCCCTAAATCTATTTTAAAACTAGATTAAACTCATTCTAAAATTAACCCACCTCTAAATCCATTCTTAAAATTTGAATCCCAACCCTAAATGATTTAAACCCAACCTTATCTTGTGTGGTTAATCTCTCCCTCAAGTCTCTCTTGCTGCCACCATCCACGTCTTCAGTTTCGCCTTAAGAAGCTTTTGGGTATGTTTCTTAAGTGTAATGAGAAGACTCAATAGTAGATATTATATATATATATTATAAATAGTAGTTCAGAGGGTTTGCACTCCTCCCATCCGGGAAAATTAGCCTATTTGGGCTCGGCACGCGAATTAAGAAAAAATAAATATTTTATTAAAAAAGTAAAAAAAAAATAAAAAGATTGTTGGGAGTATTTTTGAAAATTTAGTTAGTAATTAAAGAGAATGAAAGAAAGAAAATGTAATAAAGTTAGTGGTATTTATTGTAAATAAATGTTGAATGAAATATAATAATTAAATAGTGACATTATGACTTGTTCGAATATAGTAATTAAATAAATTTAACGTACAGACAAAAAAAAAAGTGAAAATAAATTTAACGGACATAATGAGTATTATATATATACCATTGTATAATATAAATTTGTTTATTTATTTATTTACGTACATTGTACTGCACTACTAGTACTAAGTTATACTTCCTTCGTCCACTTACAATATTTACATTTATTTTTGACGCGGTGTTTAAGAAATAATAGTATTTTAATTATAGTGAGTAGTTAAAAGTAGTGTAATGACATTTTTGCCCTTATTTTTTTTGTGTAAAAGTAATGATGTGATGTAAAGTAAAGGTATTTGTGGAAAAAAAAGTGGGGTATTTAATGAAATATTAACTTTGTAATTTGACGTCCCAAAATAAAAATATGTAAACATTGTAAGTGGACGAAGGAAGTATTATTTAATATTAGTGTCTAGTGTAGACTGCTAACATATATATATATATATAGATATAATCTATTAGTAAGGATAAGAGCTACATATATTATATATGTATTATATATATTGGATGAAAGAGAGATGGTAGGACATTTCTTTACTTTTTTTTTTTTAATCCGGATGGTAGGTATTTTCATTTTTTTTATAATTCATAATTTAACTTTTTTATTTCATTGATTTTATTTTTAAGTATGTTTGATTTTTATATTATTTATATTCATGTTTTAATAATTGACCTATTACTTGTACATCTTATTTTATATAAATTTTTGTACTAATTCTAATTTAATGACCGATAACAAAAATGTCCAAGATTTATCAAAGAATCCAACAAGAAATACTAAATCATCTGATCTATGATAGAAGTATGGATTTTGGCCGGATTTGAATAACAAATATTTAA